GCAACAATGACCGTGGAGGAGCGAATGTCTCTGTGGTGGGATGGAGAGTCTTCTGGATACACACCAAGGAGTGCTGTAGCTGGGACACAAGGAAGTTCTATCTTAGCTTTTAAAGAAACCCCAGACAGATGTCCATGGTGGCTGTACCATTTACATTCCCACTGACAGTGAACAAGAGTTCGCCTTTCCACATATCCCAGACAGCATTTGTTGTCATTTGTTTTCCATAATAGCCATTCCGACTGGGGGTGAGATGGAATTTCAAAGTAGTTTTAATTTACATTTCCCTGGTGGCTAAGGATGTTGAGCACATTTTAAAATATTTATGGGCCATTCATATTTCTTCTTCTGAGAATTCTCTGCCAAGTTCCTTGACCTATTTTTTTCCACTGAGTTTTTGGTTTGTTTGCTTGTTTGTTTAGTTTTTTTTAGTTGCTTGTGTATTTCATATATTAATCAGCTGTCAGATGTATCCGTTGCAAAGGTTTTTCTCCCACTCCGTAGGCTGTCTCCTCTAATAATTGGCTTATTGTGGGGCATTTTGCTTTGTTTACATACAGAAGCGTTTTAATTTCACGGGGTTGCCTTTGTCGGGAGTTGACCTTGCCTCCATAGTGGCTGGAGTTAGGGGAAGAAAACCGTTAGCTGTGCCTAGGTCTTGATCCTATAGCAGCTTCAGAATTTTAGGTCTTACACTAAGGTCTTCAGCCTCAGAGTTGATTTTGTGCAAGGTTAGAGAAAGGGGCCAGCTGTATTCCTCTACTAAGGATATCCAGTTTCCCTAGCACCACTTGTTACAGAGATTATCTTTTCTTCAGTGTGTGTGTGTGTGTGTGTGTGTGTGTGTGTGTGTGTGTGTGTGTGTGTATGCATGTATGCATGCATGCATGCGTGTGGTTTTGTTGTTTTGGATTGGTTTTCACAACTTTGTAATGAAAATCAGTTAACTGTAGCTGCGTGACTTGTGTCTCACCTCTCACTTGTCTGTCATTGACCTGAGTCTGTTTTTGTGCCCGTACCTTGCTGTTTTATCACTATAGCTCTATTATAGTATAGCTTGAGATCAGTTACAGTGATAACTAACACACTATTCTTTTTGTTCAGGGTTGCTGTGGCTATCTGGGGGTTTTTATGTTTCCATATGAATTTTTTTGGTCTGTTTTTGTTTTTGGATTTTTGTTTTGTTTTGTTTGGTTTTGGTTTTCGAGACAGGGTTTCTCTGTGTAACAGTCCTGGCTGTCCTGGAACTCACTCTGCAGACCAGGCTGCCCTGGAACTCACAGAGATCCACCTGCCTCTGCCTCCTGAGTGCTGGGATTAAAGGTGTGTGCCACCAACGCCTGGCTCCATATGAGGTTTAGTGTTTCGGTTTTGGGGACTTTGCTTTCTTTCTGTTTCTGTAAAAAATCATGTTGGTATTAAATAATCTATAGTCATTTTGACAGGGTTAAGTTTTCCAACCCATGAGCATGAAAAAGTCTTTCTCTCTTCTAGTATCTCGATCAATTTCCTTCTTCCATGTTTTAATGTTTTCATTGTATGTGTCTTTCATTCCACTGGTTAGATTTTTTCTATATTTTTGAGTGTGTTGTGAATAGGATTATTTCCCTCATTTCTTTTAGATCATTAGTATATAGGAAGACTGATGATTTTTGTGTGTTTACTGAAAGTGTTTATTGGCTCTCAGAATTTTCTGGGTTTTTTTCATATATTTTATGTATATGAGTGCTCTACTGCATGTATGCCTGCATGGCAGAAGAGAACACTGGATCCTATTAGAGATATTGTGAGCCACCATGTGGTTGCTGGGAATTGAACTCAGGACTTCTGGAAGAGCAGCCAGTGCTCTTAATCACTGAATCATCTCCCCAACTCCCCTGGTGGAGTCTTTAGGGTCTCTCATGTATTAAATCCTAGAATGTGCAAATAAGGAAATTTGACTTCCTCCTTTTCTCTTCGTTGTCTCTTTTATTTCCTTCTCTTGCTGTTCTGGATAAGATTTTAAACACTATATTGAATAGATGGCAATGAACACATTTGTATTTTTCCTCATTTTAATCGAACTGCTTTTTCTTTATTTAGCATGATGTTGGCTTTACTTCATAGTAGATACCCTTTGTTATGTTTCCACCGTTCCTAGTCTCCTGGAGGCTTTATTATGAAAGGGTATTGAATTTTGACAAAGGTTTTTATCTGTATCTATTGAGTTGATCCTGTGATTTCTGTCCTTGAGTCCATTGGGGGATACATTACATTTATTGGTTTGCATATGTTAACTGATCCCGTCTTCTCTGGAATGAAGCCAACTTGCTTATGGTAAGTGATCATCTTGGTGTGTCTTTGAATTCAGGTCACAAATATTGAGTTTTTTGACACCTGAGTTCATCAGGGAGATTGACAAAGGTTTTCTTTTCATTGTATCTTTCTTTGGTTTGGGTATCAGGAAAATGCTGGTTTCATGTGGGAATGTACATGTGTAGACATGTGGAGGTCAGAGGATAACTTGTAGGGATTGGTTTGTTCGAGTTCATTCTGATATTTAATACAGGTACTTACGACTGTGAACCTCCCTCTTAGGACTTCTTCCATTATATTGTATAGGTTCATGTATGATCGATCTGTAGTTTTTTCAGTTCTAAGATTTTCTTTCCTTCTTGGTTTCTTCAATGACCATTCACCCATTCATCATTCTATAGTGTGTTGTTTAATATGCATGAGTTTGCAGATTTTCTATATATCCAACTTTATTCCACTGTGGTCAAACAGAATAGAAGTTATTTCAATTGTTCTGTGTTTGCTGAGACTTGCTTTATGTCCTCATACATGGCCAGTTTTAAAGAAAATTCTAAAATTCTGCTACTGAAAAGAATATGTATTCTGCAGTGTTTGGTGAAACATTTTGTAAATGTTTGTTAAGTCCTTTTGATCTGTGATGTCACTTTATTCTGCTGTTTCTTTGTTTATTTTTTTTTTTTGGTCTGGATGAATTAGCCATTGATGGGAGTGGGACATTGAAGTCATCCACCGATACTGTGTTGGGATTAATCTATGACTTTATAGCCAGAAGACAGATTGCCTGCATTTAAAATAAAATCAGCCAGTGAATGGCCTAACTCTTCATGTACAAATCCCAACACCAAAAAAAAAAAAAAACCAATGACATGAAAAACCAAGACAACCCACCTCTTCCAAAAACTACCAGTCCAAATGGCCCCCAGTGAGAGTGATTTAGACAAAACATCACACAGTTCAAAAGCATGATTATCAATACTTTCAAAGAAAAGAAAGAATGCCACTCCTGAATGAATCCAAGAGAATACAAACTTTGGTACGAGTGATTGGTATTGAGATGATAGAGAGAGAGGAGAAGAGAGACCTGAAGGGACACAAGAGGAGGAGGGAACTGGGGTTTTAGATAAAGGTCTGCTTAAAAAAAAAAAGTACCACTTCTCGGGGAGCTGAGCACAGAGGCCCTGCACGCAAGTCAGGCCAGGTAGTTTTCTTTGGGAAAGGAAAAAGACAGTAGTGGGCCAAGGCCAGAATGAAGCCAAGCCAGCCTACTAGCATGGCATTGGGTATTAAATAAAGATAGGATCGATGTAGAAGGATAAAAGTCTTCGTGGAAATAGAGGCTATGAAAACTGGCTGAGCCGATTGCTCGAGTCTGTCTGGCCTCCCCCGTGTACCTTCCTAACCCCTGGACCTCCTCTGCTATGGATGCTATGGATGCTCCCCTTCTCCCTTCTGAGTCCTCCCATGCATGATCAGATGACAAATGGCTGTCATGGACAGTGCTTCTCAGATGCATGCTCTGGAGCTGGGCCCACCTCTGTAATTTCCCTCAGGCCCTGTGCAGCTCTTATCCGTGTCCTGTGTGCTACTTGCAGTCTATATGAAAGTTCTCGTGGACACTTTGGTTCCCACCAGGTTTTCTGCTGCCCAGATGCTCTACGATCTGACTCAGGGTTTCTTTTCCGATGTCACAATGTCGTCTTTGTCAGGTTTGTCAGAAGACAGTCTTAACACTAGTTGTTGGGTATTTCCCAAGTGTGGTTCGTTGAGGGTCTTGGGCTGCCAAGTCATCGAACAGCAAGCATCTCTTTAGAGTGGTGTCTCCCTTCTGTTCTGTGGGCTGCCAGTGCTGAGCACCGAGCACCAAGGGAGGAAGGGTTTCCCGCAGAGACCCCTGCTGATGCTTCTGCCCTGGGTGTGGCTCCCCCGCCCCCAGATGTTTAGTGTTTCTTCTGTAATTGCTACTCCTCATTTCCCCAGTTAATTCCCTGGAGGCTCTAGTAGACTGTCCCTAAGTATCATATGACATTTTGAGTCTCCCTCAATTCGAATTTGAGATCTTAAGACAAATGATGGCTCAATTCCCCAACTACCCTCCCATGAGCTAAGTAAAAACTCTGTGGAATTGTCAGGGAGATGCGGGTTCAAATTCTAGATCAGTGGTTTTCAACTTTCCTAACGCTTCTCCTCTTTAATACAGTTCCTCGGGTTGTGGTGACCCCCCAGTCATAAAATTATTTCATCACTGATTCATAACTGCAATTTTGCTGCTGTTATGACTCATAATGTAAATATCTAATATGCAGGATATCTGATATGCGACCCCAAAGGAGTTATGACCCACTAACCCACAGGTTAGACTCTAGATCAAACTATTTGTTTCTGTGTAACCTTGAGTAAGTGGTTCCTCAACTGTGTTGTCTCTGCTACTCAGATACTGTGACAAGTCAGCATCAAGTGAGTGCTTCATTTATCAATACCAAACAAATTTGCATTGCCTACCTAGTATGTATCAGCAGTGTAAGAGCCCTGCTAGGATACAGTGGCAGGCACTTTTAGCATGAACTCTACCATCATGAAACTTACGAGTCTAGTGGAGAAAAACATCACGGACTGGGTAGGAAGAGGTAACTCAGGAAGGCTTCTCAGAGCATGTAAGTGGTAAGCAGTATCCTTCCCAGTGTGATCACTCTGTGCCTCTCTTTCAGGTACCTAGAAGGAAACCATTTAACAGCGGTGCCCAAAGAGTTGTCTGCCCTCCGACAGCTGACGCTTATGTAAGGAGCCTGCCGCGTGGCAGGCGTTTGTTTCTCCTTCCTGAGGTGGTGTGGGGCAGGGCTATAGGGAGTAAGAGTCACAGCCAGATGTCACAGCTCTCTGCCTGCAGGCCTGCACAGTATAGGGAGGAGCAGCTGGGAGGAAACAGACCAGGCTGATGTGGGAAGATTTGCCAGCCAGGCAAGTGTGCACAAATAGTCAAAGCGTGTCATCATGGGCTCTGAACTGCCTCCCTGTTGACTTGCCTCTGACCTCCCAGGCTCCAAGCTGAACTCCTGAGCCTTCTGGACCTCCAGTTCCTTGTGAGCCGTGGTCACACTTAGATCTGCCAGGAGCAGAAACAGCCATCCCTTCTTCCTTCTCTGGTTTCCCGGAGGAAAAAAATGTCCCAAGTAGATGATTTAAACAAAGGGCCTTCAGTAACGCCTGCTACAAACTTCAAGCCTCCCAGGAAACCTGAAAACCCCTGAGTGGGAAATAGAGAACCTGGGCATGGGAGAGGGCCATGAGCTTGCCCCTCAACAGCATCACTGCCTTGCCTTGGGGGACACAGAGGGGTACAATTATTCCTTGGGCAAGTGGTAACTGAAAGATGCCTGTGTCTGCCTGAGAGGAGTAGGAGCCAGTCCACAAGACGAAAGAAGTGTTCTTTCACAGTGGATGTCAGAGGCCCACTAGTGAAAAGTTCCAAGAAGCCACCATTTTGTCCCCATTCTTATTCTCCAGAAACCAGTGTCTGTATGAACATTTCTCAGACTCAGAGCTATGGACATCTGAGGCCGGATAATTATTACTTAGGGGAGTTGTCATGATTATCATGAGAAACCAGGCAGTGACCTTGGTTTCCATTAGAAGCTGGTAGCACTTCCCAATAGCAACGGCCCCCCCCAAGATTCCGTAGACACTACCAAAGTTGGGGGTAGAACAAGAGAGCCCCAGTTGAGAACCGCTGCTCTGCAGCAGTAGGCACGGGCTTCTGCTGTGTGGAATTGCCCAGGTAGGAGCTGTTCATGCTGCCAGTTAATGCTGCCGCCACACCTACATACAGCATTTTAATCAGAGTATGCAGGCAGGGAACCCTGGCTTCAGAAGATTTGTAAGTTCCTTGGGTGATTCCAGTGTACAGCTAATAATCACCCTGCTGTTCTGCTGTTCTGGGAGTTTGTCTCTGAGGAAAAACTAGAGAGTGTAGTTGATAGAGGTCTCTTCTCTCATCAACTTTGTTCCTCCTCAGAGATGAGTCAGATGGAATGAATAAATGACAGAGAACTGGTGGTAAGAATTGGTCACGGGACCAGTTGTTCTGGCACACACGGGTAGGATTTACTTAAGGAGATAGAGCCAGGAGGATCATGAGTTCTAGGCCAGCCTGGGCTACACATTCTTTTAACCAGGCAGTGGTAGTTGATGCCTTTATTCCCAGCCCTGGGAAGAGGGTGGCAGAGGCAGGCAAATCCCTTGAGTTCTAGGCTAGCCTGGTCTACAGATTAAGTTCCAGGACAGCAAGGGCTATACAGAGAAATCTGTCTGGAAAGAAAGAAAGAGAGAGAGAGAGAGAGAGAGAGAGGGAGGGAGGGAGGGAGGGAGGGAGGGAGGGAGGGAGGGAGGGAGGGAGGGAGGGAGGGAGGAAGGAAGGAAGGAAGGAGGAAGAGAGGAAGGAAAAAAGAATTGATAATGGGAAGAAATATACTAGAATAAGGGGAAATTGTTTTCTTATGTGTTACATTTTGTTGGAATGAAATGGATGGATAGGAATGTAATTGAATGATTTAATCATTGAATGAGTAAATAAATGGATAAATGGGTGGGCAAGGACAGTGCAAATGTGAGAATTAACATTTGAATCAATGTATGAGTAGGTAAATAGATGGGTGGGAGGGCGATAAGTGGAAAAATGAGCAGGTGAGTGGAGTAAATATGAGAATGGGTAGGCATACAGATGGGCAAATGGAGACGAGTGAGTATATATCTAGACAGATGATCAAAGGTGTGCGGGAATACTAGGTGACTTTGTGAATGAACGTAAATGAGTGCATGGATAGGTGGATGAATGGGTGCACGTGTGGCAGTGAATGGATTGATTGATAGGTGGTATACTCACGTAATGGTGTATTGGAGACCCCCTCAGGTACAGCTAATAGTAACCCGTGCCTTTTCTGTTTTACTTTATCTAGTGACCTGAGCAACAACAGCATCAGCATGCTGACCAATTATACCTTCAGCAACATGTCCCACCTCTCCACACTGTGAGTATGGCGGCATCTCACGTTTAACACTCATGGGCATACCCAGTCTTGTATCCCCTCAGTCCTGAGGTGCCTTGCTCTCAGTCCTCAAAGCTTTAGCTGCCCCCGGTGAAAGGCAGACTTTAGTCATCAGAAGATGCAAAAAGGAGAGCTAGGGGCCTGGCAGATGGAGGAACTGGAAGCTAATTACCTCTGAAGAAGTCTGTCTTTGGAATGCCTTCTGGGATACATGCATGTTCTTTCCCAGTGGAGGGTTTCCTACACAATTATGTTTTGCTCAGACCCATTTACTTCCCATTAGCTCGGCACGTTGTAAGCACACACCATTTGACAGTGGAGGGAGGTGGTAGGAAAGCTGATTAGAGAGCCAGTCTGCTGTAGAACATGGGGGCGGGGGACCAGCTTCGGAGCTTCCTGGACTGGTAGGAGGTTTCTCGTCCCTCTGTATTACGGCTCCTTTGTCGATATATGAAACCAGGGAAATTGGAGGAAACATTTGCTTCGATGGGTCCACAGTGTAAACAGTGCACCCACGAGAACGGGAGCAGCCAGCGGGCTCACATTTCTCTCTCCACAGGATCCTGAGCTACAACCGCCTGAGGTGCATCCCGGTCCATGCCTTCAACGGTCTCAGGTCACTCCGAGTGCTGTAAGTCACGGGGTCTTGGGTCAGCCTTACATGGTACTGGATAATAACATGAGGTGTGCAGAAGTCCCGCCTCCCGCTCTGTCCTCTGTGCAGAGCCCTTATTTATTCAGTGGGGTAAAGGCAATGAACTCTATGGGTCAGCCATTCCTGAGGTTCAGCACACTGGCACTCATGAGCCTTTAGCTAATCACTCACCCCCTCAAGTCTGCACTTTGCTGTGTGTCCCTGTGACTAAGCGATTAGGCTACACTAATGTGTCCTCCCTCTCATGAGCACACTATGATGGGCAGGCTGCTCACAGGTGCTCACTATGGCTTCAGAAGGGTGATGCAGCCTCCTCTGCAAGGGACTGGAGATGACAAGCTGGAAGGCCAGGTGCTATCCAAGCTCAGAAGGTTGACTCACAAGTAGCTTTTTCAAAGACCAAAAGTTTTAGGCCTGGGTGCAATGATGCACATGTGTAATCCCAGTCCTTAGGAGGCTGGGACAGGAAGAACACAGCCTAGACTATTTAGTGACTTTGAGTCTAGCCTGGGCTAGTTAACAGGGTCCTGTCTCGGGAAAAAAAAATCAAAGTTTTAAGAAGTTGCCAGCGTTTAAATACAACCAACAAATCCTGATATCCACCTTCTCTTGGGAACTCAAGAGTCCTGGCCATACTTGAGCTCTTCCTCTGCATTTTTGCAGACAGGATTACACAGACTGCAGCCTGTGTACACCCTCATGCCTGCCTGGTCCTGTCCTGCCCCTGAGCTGAGGCCAGCTCCATTGAGGCAGATGAGCTAGAGGGCTCACACAAAGGCTAGAGGGCTCCAGAACCCTTCTGGTTCCCAAGCATGGCTCTGCCTCTGCCCCTCCCTTCCTGTGTGTATTCTCACATATAAAAATCGGATAATGACGCTTAATTGCCTCTCCAAATCTTAGGGGGATTTAATGAGATGCTGCATGTAGAACACACATCACAGCTCTGGCTACTATGAATATGGGATAACTTTTGTTCTGCTCTCAGTGGGAGCTTGCTAGAGCCCGGGTGGGCGGGGGACACCGTGCTGCCCCAACTGCAGGTCCAACTTGTATACCTTTCTACCTTGAACTATTTTGCTGATAAAAGAAAGTTGCGTCTTTTTCTGCTATCACTTTTAAAGGATGTCCTCATGATGGTAGAGATGTCATCCTGCTCTTAAACCTCTCGCCTATATTTTTTTAGTCCATCATTATTATAAGAGTAACCACCATATTTGGAAAGGTCAGGCCTGGCCGTTCCTTTCCTGATCCTTTGCAATAGTACTGTGAACTTGAGAGGATGATACCCATTTTAGAGATGGGGAAACTGAGACCTGATGGTAAAGTAACTGGCCAAGTGTGTTGAGTCCAGCCTCCCGCCTCAGTGCCATCCACAAACTGCACCCAGCAACCTGGTCCATTCCAGAGGCTCTGGGCTGGTGTGATTTATTAAGACCTGCAAAACACCCATGTCAGCGACAACTCCCGCCACATGTCATCTGCACTGTTATTAAAAATCAATTCTCCGGGGGGCAAAGAAGTGCCCATACTGACAGTGTGCAATCTGTTATTGTCACTTATTTATTATCCACTTTCTCCAGGGAGCTCGGGAATGGAAACATCAGCGAAACCATTTCCCTGTTTCCAGCTGAATGCAATAGTGGATAGGTCTCATTCATCCAGCCCAAAGCCATACCGGCTCCCCCTTCCACTGCCTGCTGGCCCCTGTCCATCCCAACCCCAACCTGCCCCCCCCCAGTCAGTCTAATGCTGCTGGGCATGGGCTAGATGGCAGAAGACAGACCTGTCAGTTTTAACTGGATCCCCTTGCATGGACCTGGAGTTGTTCTGATGGGGATGATTTAAAGAGAGAAAAAGGATCTCCCTGTCCATCTGTCTGTTACCTGGGGTGAAGATGTTCATCACAGCCTGCCAGGGGCTCCTTGTGTGTCCTACCCTAGCTCCACTACCATCACGAGGTCCCAGGAATACATGCCTACATTCAGCAAGAGGGAGCTTGCTTCTTGAGTTAAGAGTCAGCATGCTTTAACACGGTCATCCTAGAAACAGTGGGTCTCGGGCATAAAACCGATCTCAAAACCTCCCACTCCACACAAGTACCTCAGTGGGGAGCAGCCATTTTCTGCATAAGGACCAATTCAGGAAAAATAACAGCATTTATGGGCCACATTTTTATGATATTTGTATCCTTTCTTCTCATAATTGCACATGTAGGAATTTACACTACAGAAAAACCCAAAATGAGGGGAAAGGTTCTATAAATCTGAGTCTTTGTTGCATTGTTATTTTTAACCTAAATTTTAAATATTACCTACCAGGACCACAATGGGGAAATGTATAAAGAGATTATGACACAACTAGTCGATGAAACGCAGTTATTAAGAGTGGTAAAAATGAAAACTAGACACAGCTTAGAAACGGGGTATTTAGCTATTGCATGGGAAGGGAAACTTAATTATATTATCTTGTAAACATTGACACCAATGAACAGAGACACAAGGGAACAAGAGGAAGAATGGCTTTGTGGCTGGCTCCTGTTACTCACTGAGCAGGAATGGAGACTGCTGTACGGTGGCAATTTAGGGAGCTGGGCAAAAGAGGGGGGCGGTTTTATTTGTTGGTTTGTGTGTGTGTGTGTGTGTGTGTGTGTGTGTGTGTGTGGAGTTCGTGTGTGTGAGCATAGGTACACATGTGCTGCGGCATGCCTGTGGAGGTCAGAGGACCTCCTCAATGTCCTCAACGTGGGACAGAATCCTCGGTTGTTCACTGCTGTGTTCACCAGGCTCACAGGCCTGTGAGCTTCCAGGGGTTTTCTTGTCTCTGCCCTCCCATCTTGCTAGAGAGCTGGGACGACAGAGAAACACTACTGCTGGCTTTAGGTGGGTTCCGCATATCTGTGCTCAAGTCCGCAAACCTCTATGCAAGTGTCTTGCCTACTGAGCCGCCTCCCTAGCCCCAGGTAAGTTTGTTTTTAATAAGGAATTGCATTATCTGTAGTGACGTGCATTCGTACATGCATGCACATTTATGTGTGTGTATGTATGTATGTGCATGTCTGTTTATCTATGTCTGTCTCTGTGTGTCTATAGGTAGTGTATATATGTATGTTTATCTATTTATCTGCCTGTGTCTCTTTCTCTGTCTCTCTGTCTGTGTGTGTCTGTTTGTCGAGTGTCTGTCTGGTGTGTGTGTGTGTGTGTGTGGGTGTGTCTGAATTTGCTTACTGTCTCTGTGTATGTGTGTCTATTTGTCTGTGTGTGTGTGTGTGTGTGTGTGTGTGTGTGTGTGTGTGTGTGTGTTAGGGAATGCAGCTGAGTGCATTTCAGAGAAGGCAGGAAAGTGATCAGGACCCCACGTACAAAATACTATGTGAGGAAAATGAATATTCTCTCTCCTTCCCTTGTGATGTGAACTAGATAGTGAGAACATTCTTGTGGGCACTCTTGTCCTTCTTTGGGGATCTGTGCACTCCTAGGGATCTCTGCCCCACACGGAGTCACATGCTTTGTGTGTGTGTGGTTCTAAATGTCAACCCCCAGCCCCACACCGGGGCACCTGGAATTAGTTAGGACAGGGAGGGCTGCCCCAACATGTGCAGAGGGAGAGACTGACACTGTCATCCCTCATCCTTCAGATCTGTAGCTTCTCATCCACGAAGTAAAACTGAAGGACAGTGTGAGGTCCTCCTACACCCACCCACTAAGGGCTCCAGATGCTCTTTGTTTGGTTACCTTCCCAGGAGGGCCTCATCGCCTCACCAGAGAGCTGGCACACCTCTGACAGCCTGGCAAATGCTGGTGATGAGCTGAAAGGTGGTGCTGGCAGCCTCCAGAACATGGTGCAGGCTCACTCCTTGAGAACAAAACCAAAAATAACCATTACAATTCAGCAGGAACTTCATAACCAAGAGGAAGCCCTAGAGATAGTCCTGTCTGAACTTGTCGCTTCAGAGATAGGGACAGAAAAGTTTAGGGCCTTCAGTGGACAAGCCGCGATGCTGACCTGGGAGATGGGCACAGACAGTAGGGGAGATGCTGGTGCTGTCCTCTAAGAGGGGAAACTGTCAAGCTGAGAAGCATTTGCTGAGATGAGAGCCGCAGGCCACAGTGACAGCATCACCACACTCTGCCCATCTCAAGGCTCTCAGAAAGAGCAATCCTTTCTGGAATGTCACCGCTGGTGTCTGTTAAGCCTTGGCTCTGCACTGCCCAAACGATAAGGGCTTCTGTGACATCATCATAGCCTCCACCCTGTTATCCCCATCTCGCTCATGAGTAAACTGAGGCTGAGTAAAGCGTAAGTGACTGACCTAAAATAATGCAGTTGGGATTGAACCCAAGACTAGATGATGCCAATGAGACTCACCTAAGTAGAGAAGGGAGCGAGGAACATTCTAGAGGTGACAACATGGATACCCTGTACAGAGACCTTAAGATCAAGGACAAGTATGGAGGCTGGAGTGTTGGCTCAGTAGCTAAGAGCACTTGCTGCTCTTCCAGAGGACTGGAGCTTAGTTCCCAGTACTCACATCAAGCGACTCACAGCAGCCTGGAACTGTAGCTCCAACCCCTTCTTCCTGTCTGAGCACACACACACACACACACACACACACACACACACACGCACACACACTCACACACACACACAAAAGAAATGTTTTTTTTAAGACAAGTTTGTGGAGAGGCTCCCAGGAACTTATAGGTGTGGCCCCGAGGCAGGGTTCATGTTACAAGCAGAAGAGTATGGCCAAATCACCATTAGTACAAACAGAACCAACCAAAGCTGAACTCTTGTCTCTGGGCTCCTAACCCAAGGGTTTTCTTCCTCCCTCCCAACCTCGCTGATACCTGTCTCCAGTCTCATGCATCTCACACTTGAAGATTGGGGCATTGTTGACTGAAAGTTGATGTTTTTCATCATTACCCAGAAAAGCCTCTCGTCAGAATGAAAGGGTTTCGATTGGGGGACGGGGGAGTGGGAAAGGGATGGAGTTGGCTGGGTAGGGAGGTGGAAGGATCGGGGAGAAAGAAAAAAAACTGATCAAAATATCCTGTATGAAAACATTTTAAATAAATAAATGGTGAAGTAGGATAGAGGACTTGGAACCACACTGCCAATGTTCACGATGTGTTACCCCCAGTCCAGAAATGGAGTCATGGGGCTCACTACTGCCTTAAAATTGGTGGAAAGTTTAATTACAGGCTCCTAATTTATATGAGCAATGCCTTGAGAGGACTGGCCTCAAAATAAGTTCAAGAAAAAAAAATGATCATTCACTAGGTCCTACAGCATTTGGGGCTCACAGCTTATTAAATATGTAATATTATAATAGGCCCTTCTTGACCAATCGAGAGGAGACCTGCTAAACTACCTTGGGGGGGCATGATCTCTCCTTCAGACCCCTGAGAAGTTCAGGGTAGACAGCGGTTCTAAGACTAGGAGAAGGGATGCCAGAGATGAGTGCAGCTGTCTTGCTCCTCAGCCCTCTTTCTTGCATGGGTTCCCCTGGTGGGTGGGGACATTTATCTTCTCAATCTGACCTGTGGGGGGGAGCATCCTAACAAGCTGCGAGGGCTTGCAAAATGAAACCTCCCACTCACTTCTGAGTTCCAGAGGGAGGCCCAGGGCTGTCTCTTATTGGTCTTAAAGGGGAGCTCCCACTGTCCCTCTGAAGGTGTAAGTGCACCTGTGCAGGAGTGAATGGGAAATGGAGAGAAGTGTTCGAGACTGGACGTGTGTGCGTATGCGGGAGCTACACAAAATGCAAACATGCAGGTCTGATGGCCGAAGTTTGTACCTCTTCAATGGACAGGAGCGGTAGAGAATGCAGGAGAGCAACCTCAGAGAGCTAACAGATGGGGTTTAGGAGAGGCAGTGAGTCCAGAGGTCAGACAGTGGCCTGGGCCACAGTACCAGTAGACTTTGGGTGTGATGTTGGGTTTTCAGTCTCCTCTGAGATGGGAGTGTAATCTTCCTGAGTGGCTAAATGTTACTAAAAAGATTAATGATGGCTGTAGGTCTTTTTGATGGATTCAGGCCTCTAGTTCACATGGGAACTCCAGGTACAGTCCCTTCCTGTGCTTCAGGAGAGAAAGGGGAGCAGGAGCAACAGGGCGGGGGATAGGAACAGGTCAGAACGGACCATGAGGCCATTCCTGCTGCCAGCATGACAAAGCACAATACATTAGACATACGTAAGACTGTGAGTCGGAGGCAGGCAGATCTCTGAGTTGGAGGCCAGCCTACAAAGTGAGTCCCAGGACAGCCAGGGCTACAAAGAGAAACTCTGTCTTCAAAAACGAAAAGACTGCAAATTCACTGACGTCACACAAGGAATGTCACACTAGTCTTTGTGCCACTGATTGCCCAGACCCGGCAAGAACTTAGCTAGGTCTTGCCATCTCTGTGCAAACTGTGAACACCTGGGCATTCAGGGGATCCAAGGTTCAGATAGCCCAGGTGTAACAAGGGGCAGGTAGGTTTTACACCGCTCCAATGATTCCACCATCTTCATATGATAGTTTGCTTTTAGCATCCCCTAGAACAGTGGTTCTCAACCTTACTAATGCTATGACCTTTAACACAATTCCTCATGTTTGGTGACCCCCCAGCCATAAAATTGTTTCATTGTTACTTCATAATTGTAATTTTGCTACTGCTATGAATCATAATCTAAGTATTTTTGGAGATAGAGGTTTGTCAAGGGGGTCACAACCCACAGGTTGAAAATTGAAAATGCCTGGTCTGAGTGTAGCACAGAGGGAGTGTGCTTACTCAGCATGTACAAGGCCCTGGGTATTTTACAGGGGAAGGGAAGTTATGCCCTTGCTGTAAGCTATAGAAACCCCTAGTCCCTTCCCCATGAACTGTGGTCCCACCACCAACAGCATCAGTGCAACAGGGAACCTTCAGAACCTCAGGTCCCACCCCAGACCCTGAAGATGTAGATCAGACTCAGAAATCTGAATTTTATGTCTTTATTAGCATATATTAATCACACGGAGTAATAGTTTTCATTGTGACATTTCCAAGCATGTATGTAGCATGTTCTAATCATATTCCTACCCCATTTTCCTCTCTTGTCCTCTTACCAGCCTTCTGGATCACTTTCCTCCTCCTTACCAACTAGTCCCCCTTCTAATTTCATGTGACTTTTGTTGTTCTTTGTGTGACACCATAAGTTTCCTTAGAGCTATTGACGGGAGCATAGCCCTAACCCTAAACCCCAAACCCTAATGAGGGATTTTTTTTAATACTTTTAAATTTTTACCTATTCATTTTATGTGTACTGGCATTTTGCCTGCCTGTGTCTATGCACCGCATGTGTGAGTTATGGACAGTTGTGAGCCACTGTGTGAGTGCTGGGAATTGAACCTGGTTTCTCTGGAGAGCTATCTCTCCAGCAACCTAAAGATCCTCAGGGAGGGGTGGAGCCCAACAGCCCCTCCCTACCCATTTAGGGAGAATGTTGATGGGTCCTGTCACTCAGTCTTGTGCAGTAAATAATCATAGCTGCTTTGAAGTCAAGAAGGCATCAGCCATATCCTGTCCGGAAGTCAGCCTTCCACGCCGCTCCCCCCCACTTCCTCCAGTTCTTAGGAGTTTTCTGCCCTCTCTTTCACAGTTTTGCCTAAGCCTTAGAGGGGGTCATATCCATTTCCATTTACGGCTGAGCCCTCAACAGTCACTTCCTCTCAGCACTTCGGTAGTTATGTCTCTAGTTACCACTGGCCACTGCAAAAAGAAGTTTCTCTAACCAGATCTAACAGCAGCACTGAACTATAAGCATAGTTATCTAGAAGACACTTTAATGGAAACATTATGTCCACTTAGAAAAAATTAAAACAAAACCGTGTATGTGCCCCCCACATGACCTCTCCTGTCACAGGATTTTGGTCCAGTAGCACCAGACTTGAATTCCAGTGTGCACCATGCCTCAGTTCTAAACAGAAGGTGGTCAGTTACCTGTCTCCCCCTGCCCATAACTGACTGGTTACTATTGTACCAGTGGGCACATGTTGCCTGGTAAATCAGTTCAGCCCTATAGAATCCAAGGTGCACAATTATCTCCCAGCAGCCTGTGCAGCACCGTCTGGCTCTATGAGAGTCAGCCACTGAGGAGAAAGCTTCCAGTTTAGCTCCCGCTTGACTTCTCCGTGCCCTTGAGACCAGAGCATGTGGTGTCTTCAGCATTCGCGTCTTCTCACCTAATTCTGATGGGCAATTAGCCACACTTGCAGATACCTGTATCGTTTTAGGGTTCTTAGAGGAGGCAGCCAGCCCATGATAGCGCTGGATTTTCACTTCCTAATCTGTGGTTTCTGGCAACAGCCACATCCACCCATACATGGTCCCTCCATTCGAAGTCTTTTATTGTTTATTTTTAAAGTAAGTAAACATGAAGTTTCCTGATGACTTTTTCATGCATTTTTAGTTTTGGTTTATCCTACCACCGTCATCTCTCTCCTGTATCCTTGTCCCCCATCATCTCTGTCCTTCATCAGTTGGCACTTAAAAAACTCTAGATTCTTTCTTCATAGTCTAACATGCACCAGCCCCTCGTGTGACAGTCTGACTGGTCATTCTCATTTGACAATTAGAAACTGAGGCTCCAGAGAGAATAAGCCATTTTGCCCAAGGCCATACAGCTGGGAAGTGCCAGAGACAGTGTCTGAAAGCAACCTGGCTCCAGAGCAGATTGCATTAGCCACAGTTTATCAAGCACAAGACATCATAGCTGAAACTAATGGTTCTGTTAGGTAGATGTGGCTCTCGGCTTCTCGGGTGTACAAACTGAGGCCCAGAAGAGTAGTTTATCTTACCCATGTTCTACCACCAAAACGAACTGCTTTCTGATTCTCACCCAGGTTCCTCCCCAAGCCCTCAGCCCCTCCACCCCTGCTACTGCTGTAGACGGGGCAATGTCCATGGCCCCGCAGCAATGGCAGTGGCAACAAATATACCACTAGCTGTGGGGCTGTGGGAACCATGGAAGTGCGGCTGGGCTGGGTGAGTGTGTTGGTCCCAATGGGGTCACTTGCTAACCTGTGCCTTCTGCCTCAGAACTCTCCATGGCAATGACATTTCCAGTGTTCCTGAAGGCTCCTTCAATGATCTGACGTCCCTCTCCCACCTGTAAGTAGCCTCTTTCTTAATGTACATTGGCTCAAAACAGAAAATGGTGATGGTGACAGCCACAGTGTCGTGACTCTGTATTCTTTCCTCATGTTAGGCAGATAATCCCTCCATATGCACAGGGGGGACTGGCTCCAGGAGCCCCCAAGAACCCACAGATGCTCAAGTCAGTTATGTACAGTGAGGTATCATATACATAGAAAGCCACACATCCTCCTGTGTACTTGAAGTAGTTTCTGGACTATTTAAGATACCTACTACAGTGTAAACACTTTGTAAATAATGGTTATACTCTATATTGGCTATAGAATAAGGGCCCAACTAAAGTCCAGGTTTATATGGGTTCACTATAGATGAAACTTTTAAAAGCTGTTTTGACCCATAGTTGGTTGGGCCTTCAAGTAGGTAACCTGACATTCAGAAAGCTGACAGGAACTTATTTTGAGAGAATGTACACAGTGTCTAGTTTCAGAAGCCTTCAAAGGTATCATCAATCCTGGCAAGCAATGTCACTGTTTAAACCCTAAACATGCTCAATGAATTATCTGATGTGTTTCTTATAGCATTAAGGTGCTTTATTCCCTTATATGTGGTGAACTTGAGACGAAGGCAAGTTAAAGGATTCATCCCCAGGCTGCACAGCCAGCCAGTAGCAGAACCATAGTCCAGCTCCAGCGGTGCCTTGACTCCAGCAGGCACATTCTGTATTCCACTCTTATTCTGCTCAAGGAAACTGAGACCATAAGTAATAGGTGACGACCTGAAAGTCACCCGTCATGCCAGTGAGACTTCAATTAGAGCTCAGTTTTCCTGACTCCCAGCTATCCCTCTCTTCCCTATCTAGCGCCCTCAGGTAGTGTTGTCTTCTGGATACCTGTCTCTGTTGGTAAATTCGTAAGACTGCATTCCTCCTCTGTGTAAATTTTAATTATTTTTATGTTGTGTGAAGAGGCTACAATAGTGATGTGTATACATCCTATAAATCAAAAATAGAAATGCTAAAGAATAGGAATTTTTTAAATGAGTCATGGTGGGTTTTTCCCAATAACTTTGGAGAAGTTTGGGTTCAACTGCAGCCCTGTCCTCTGTATCTTCAGAACCTTCTTTGAAGGATCTGTCTTTTTACAGACCCTGTGCTTGAGAGCCATGTGAGCAGGGGCTAGAGGGTCCACAATGCAAGCCAGGATTGGAGTAGAGCAAAGGACAGAATTTTCCAGAGCACTGAGAGCAAAGCTTCAGAAGAGGGGTGTCCCTTAGGTGGGGATGGAACACCCGCTGATCTGGAAATGGACTCCGGAAACTTTGATTTTGCCTGGTGGGCTTGTGTTCTAGTCTGCACACCAGACCTCTCTAATTTAGTTTCAAAACCTTGAGTTTTCAGGGAGCCACGCATGGGGAGCCTTGGGGCCAGGTCAGGCAGGGCCTAACTTCCTCTTCCTCCTTCTAGGGCCCTGGGAACCAACCCTCTCCACTGTGACTGCAGTCTGCGTTGGTTATCAGAGTGGGTAAAGGCTGGGTACAAGGAGCCTGGCATTGCCAGATGCAGTAGCCCCGAGTCCATGGCAGACAGACTCCTGCTCACCACTCCCACCCACCGGTTCCAGTGCAAAGGTAGGTGCTGCCTGCCCACCACATCTCTGCCCTCACGGGATCTGCTGTGTCTCCAACATCTAAACACATGGGACTTGTAAAGCCATAGTCTATCTCATGCACATAACCTAAGTAGCATAGGTATACTGTATACTTTATCTCCATTTATAATACATTGTAAATTCTGTATACAAAGTTGTTATACTGTATTGTTTAGGGAATAATGGCCAATACATAATTAGTATAGACACAGTTTTATTCCAGATATGTATTATCTGTAGTTGGTTGAATCTTCTGATGTGATAGATTTTGTAAATACAGAGGGCTGACTGTATTCACTGGCTCCTTCTTCGTATATTTTCCGTGGCTGAGAACATCTCTAACTTTGCATTGGTCACCAAATAATATTAGCAACCTCATTATACTATTCTCCCTCTGTGTCTCCCTCTTTGTCTCTGTCTCTTTGTGTGTGTGTGTGTGTATGTGTGTGTGTGTGTGTGTACGTTTGTGTGTGTGTGTGAGAGAGTGTGGGGGGGGGAAGAGAGAGAAAGAGAGCACTTGTGGGAATTGGTTATGTCCTTCCATCATATGGACACCAGGGACTGAACTCAGGTCCATAGACTTGGCAGCAAGAGCACCTTTACCCATTGAGCTATCTTGTCATTCTTATACATGTAATTTTTATTGATTCACTATAATAAACCACTTCTGTGTTCTTATATGACAGTCTATATTAAACATGTTTTATGTATCATTTTATTTAGCTTTTATTTATTCTGTGTCAGATTAATCCTCCAACATTTCTATGGGTAGATATTTATAATACCCTCATGTTAAATATTTAGAACAATTAAGCCTTAAAGACACTGAATGTGTTTTCCCCCACTTGGTGGTGGTGAGGGTCAAACCCAGAGCCTTCCCACTGAGCCACATCTGTATCCCAAATTAATTCATAAGACCACATCAGCAGGCCCCCAGGTTTTTCTAACTCTAGATCATGGGCTTCTGACCACCGCAGTGTGACTATCTTCCACCACAACCTACTCAACTGTCTTTTGGTTTAAAATCTTCAGTGTTCATATCCCCCACCCCTTATGGTGAATGCATGAAGGTGTTTCTCTGTTTAATACTAGATCCTTAGATAAGAGTCAGAGACTCAAAATGACTGACTCAAAATATGTGTTCCTCAAACAGTTTGCAGAATTGACTTCCCAACAAGGTGACAATCAACTCGGGCTCACATTAGCACCCTCCAAGTGCCTTTTTCTTATCGAACCAGGTTCTTTTGTCTTATTTTATAGCCGGGGCATCTCCTTTATTTTATCTGCCTTTAATTTTGAGGCATCCTGAATTTAATTTCAGAATTTATTTTCCATTTGCAATGATTCCCCTTTGCTCATCTCCTTTAACTTCGCTGTGCCCCCCCATGACTGCTGAAAGTGGGAAAACAATTTTAATTTTCTACTTCCTGCTTCTGAAACATCTAATCTGATACTAGAGGGACGTGAATAGCTATGGGCAGGAGACACCTGAAAAACTTTAAAAACCAAGGACAGGGGATGTACCTGGATGGCACTGCCTAACACATATACAGTCAGGTTGGATCCCCACTGCTTGCACAATAATATTGGTTCTGGGTCCCACAATCTCCATTTTGATTAAACTGGTGTGAGTTCAGCCTAGGCATGGGAAGTAAGCTGATTCTGACTGGTCCTTGTATGTCCAGAGAAATCTTTGTGCCCCAGGAACCCCCTCAATCAGAAGCAAGCATGGTCAGGTGGCTCTTCTCATTCTCAAGTGACCCCCCTTGGACCTACAGGTCTCAGAGCTCCCTGGGACCCTTCTGTTAGTCCACCCACAAATGGTCACTCACTAGAGTGAATTTCAACCCATCTCCAGGTTGACGGCTGATATTAAATAGGACATAGATACCCATGGCTCATGCTCAAAGCTGTTTGTAGCAGTAGACATAGTCCCTTTTTGCAAAGCTCTATGTGGGGGCCATGACCTCCTTTCAGCCCTTACCAAAAACAAAAACAAACAAAAAAACAAAACCCACAGGAGATGGTTGAAAGTTCAGTGGGTATAAAAGGCAATGTGTTCCTGTCAGCACCTTTCTGTGGCAGCATTATCCCTAAGGTCTTGCAGGAAGGACTCTCTGTGTGTGCCTTTGGCTTTGGCTTTTCTCCTTGGCTATTCTATGGGAAAGGGCTTGGCAGGGACAAAAAGAAGGGAAAAGTCAGAACAGAGCCTGTGCCCAGAACTTCCTGGAATAGAAGATACGCAGGAGGGTTCTAATTATGGTGCACTGTTTGCAGATTAGCACCCAAATCGGATCAGGCTAATTACGGTAATTGATTTGACTGCAGAAGTGCTTCTGTATGATGTCCCACTGTGATTCTTACTCACTGGACAGTGGTTGAATTAATGGGACTTTGACCAGATTGGATGTACAACCTCAAGAGAGCCAGCTGCCCTCTGGGCCTCAAGATGGGAGAGAGTCAGAGCAGAGGGGACAGAAGGTGAGTTAGCCTACTCAGAGAGCTGCCATCCACACTCTGATTTTGCTACCCAGGGCCAGTGGACATTAACATCGTGGCCAAATGTAATGCCTGCCTCTCTAGTCCGTGCAAGAACAATGGCACATGCAGTCAGGATCCTGTGGAGCAGTACCGCTGCACCTGCCCCTACAGCTACAAGGTAAGGCGGGGGGCTCTACCCACCACTCATGCATAGGCTCTGCCTTTGTCCTAGCTGCAGGGGAGAACCCGTGCAGCCGCTGCTACCCAGAGTAACCCAGGTAACTCTACAACACATGTGACACACCCCCTAGGTGGCATTAGCCAATAACATCACTATTCTCCTGCACATTGGTTAAGGCTAAGGTCTGTCAAAGAGAACTCGTGAAATTTTGGCAAGAATGCTTTGAGATGAAAAGGAAATGCTACCTCTGCATTTTCTTTATGAGTCACAGGGAGACTGCAACCCAGGGAGGTAAAGGGTCCTTTAGCAAAGGCATCCCTTGAACCGCAGTATCCTGACTGCCATTCCAGGGACTAAGTGGATGAAGGACTCAAGGACTCGATGCCCTGGGGCTTCCAAGCCTATCTTCATAGTTGGCAAGCCCAACAAAAGGATTGAGACTCCCTGTTCTCCCATCCATCCTAGCAGAAATCCAGGCTACTTCCAAGACAATCTTTTCCCGTTCTTCTTACCCAGCACACTCCAGAACAAGTTACACTGTCTCCCTACTAATATGTATGGAGTGTGTGCCACGCTCTCTGCTTGGCATTTGACTCACCCCTTCTCCCAGCAAACCTATGAAGAAAGGTTATTACCGATATAAAAACCAGGCATCAGTAGGCTAGGAATTAAAACTCCAGACTATATGGTCCCAAAGTCAAAGTCTTTTCACCTGAAGAAGTTCTTGAACAGCCAGGCCCCTTTCAGGGCCTCGCTGGGATCAGCAAAGTTGTGGCTCAATGCTCTTCCATGGGACACTCATCCCAGCTTTCCAGGTACCATCTCAATGCACTAGACGAGTCAAGAGCCCAGGGCAGCCCGCAGGCCATCGTGTGCACCATCCGCACAGGCTGGGTGACGGAACACAGTGTCTGCATCACCAAGGAACTGTGCATGTACGGCAACAGCCTTGAAAAGCAGTTTCTGGAGAACAGTTACCTGGTGGCTTTCTTGGCTACACCCTGACTGCTAGCAGACGATGTCAGAGTGCCATCTATGGGCCTGGAACAAAAAAGCCCAAGGATTCCTTTTAAAGATATCTGTCCCTGAAGCCTTAAATTTAGCAGAGCCCCAGAGCAGAGATTGAGAATGACATAACTCAGGCATGGGTCAGCTAGAGTTTTCTAGGGATATGTAGCCATTGCTGTTGGCCTTCTGAAAGGCGGGGCCCTTAATGAAGCAGTTGGAGTGCGTTATCTCACACAGCATGCTTAATCATCCAGATATCAGTTCTTATCCTCATTTGAGAGATGAGCTAAGACTTGTAAGCACAGAGAACTCATGCATGCGCCACCACCCACAGAGCACAGATGCAGAAACCAGCCTAGTCTTCCCTAGTAACTGGCTCTCTGTTCACCTTGCCCTCCCTTCTGAGAGAGGGAACCATCACGCTCGCCCGCAGAGTTGTAACAAGGTTAAAAACACATCACGTTTGCGCTTCGCCTACCTTGGTGGCAGGTTTAGAGACATTCCACACGACCTAACAATCTTGCTACTGTTCCAGGATTTGGGGAAATAAAATATATCTGATACTTTTTCCACCACTTAGTCTCATGCACATATGTTTGGTGGCTCAGAGCGGTACTTCCCAAGCTTTCGTGTGCCCAAGAATCTTATTAAAATCTAGGTTCTGGTTCATGAGAGCTGGGGTCAGGCCTGATACAGTATATATTTAATAAGCTCCCTTGGGCTGCCCAGGCTACTAGTCCATGGACCACACTTTGAGTAGCAGGGTCTCTGAGTGGTTCCCCAGCCGCCTCTGACCCAGAGATTCCAATGAGGGAGCTGCTCCTAGACTCTTAAAGAAAACCAGTAGCCTAGATCCTGTCAGAGAGGGGAAAGGGAAGTGGGCTGAAGTACAGAAGGAAGACAATTGAGGAGCATCCCAATTCCCACAGATTTGAGCAAAATGCAGTGAAAGAGAAATAAGTTGGGCTAATTAGGCAGACATTGGAAATGGTGATTATTTTTCCAGGACATGTAAATGACAGAAATCTCCATCTCTTGCCCCCAATTACTGTGTTTTCAAGCACCAAGAAATGTCTCCGCCTCCTAGATTTCTGTGCTCTGCCTGAAGAGCTAAAAGAGATCCTGCACACCACACCACCTTTTGGGGTGGGGGAGGATTCTCCCTGGGCCAAGTGGTACTTGCAAGATCACCAGTGTAGAGGGCCAGATTACAGACAGGGCTGAGGGGATGTCCCCACTGTATTCTTTTTGAGGTTCTCTTATCCTGCCCTTCATACTTCTAGTCCCACTACAATCCACGCATGCATCCCTAAACTTTTGAGCATACCCCGCCCTGCCTCAGGCCCTCGCCATGGTCATCACTGCTGTTATTTGCAGGGCTGCATCATCTGTGAGGTTCCTTGCAGGTAATGTGATTCTGCAATGCAGCTCACTCTCTGCAGCACAGGCAGAAGCTGAGCATCCCTTACACGAGTTGTTCTCAACCTTCCTAATGCTGTGACTCTTTATGGACCCCAACCATAAAACTATTGTGTTGTTAGCATCATAACTGTAATGTCGCTACTGTTATGAATCATAACGTAGATATCTGATATCTCCGATGTTCTTAGGCAACCCCTGTGAAAGGGTGGCCCACAGGTTGAGAGCCGCTATCTTCTATGAAATGCGTCAGACCAGAAGCATCTCATATTTCAAGTGTTTCTGGATTTTATAACACTCGCAGGTGTATACTAAGCTATCTTGGCGTGGGGACCAGAACCCATGGAAAAAGCTAACCATGATGATGCTTGCTTGTAATCTCAGAACTGGGGGGCTGATCAGCCAGCCAGCCTAGACAAGCCATCAAGACTCAGGTCCAGGTAGGAAACAGGCCATTGCGTTGGCTCAGCAGATAAAGGCACTAACCACACAAGCCTAGTGACATGAGTTGGACATCCAGGACCCATGTAAAAAGGGAGGAAGCCACACCGTTACCCACTGATCTCACATGTGCATGTGCAGAGAGAGAGGGAGAAAGAGAGAGAGAGAACCCAAATCTAATAAGGAAATTAGCCTGTTTCATTTATACACAGTCTGAAATCATAGGCATTTTTATTATACCTGCATTTTGAGCATGACCCCCATCTCCTGAGGTTAAAGGTAGAATTTTCCACTTGGGGTAGAATTTTCCACCTCCGGTGACCTGTCAGCACTCAAATGTTTGATGTTTTGGTGCACGTTGAATCTCTAGGTTAGACATACTCCACCTCACTCCCATTTCATGGAACATAAAAGCAAGATCAAAGCGAACTAGTCATTTCCTTCAGGCATATAGCAGCCTGCCTAGACTTGGCTCCAATCCACAGCACTCCGGAGTCCAGGTTTTCAGAGGAACAGAATAAATGGTCCAGCATAGAGGTGCCTGGTGCCGAATTCGGACTCAGCTGTCTGGGTTCATCTGTTGGCCGTCTGTTTCACTAGCTGCTGTGTAGTCTCAGACCTATTACCTTCTTTTCCAAGTCTGCCTTCCCTATCTGCAAAGGGGGGTGTAATGACAATTGTACCAATCTCATAGGGTTCTTGGGAACATTATATGTGATCGTGAATATAAAACACTTAGCATGAGGCCCGGAATGGAAAATGTACTCAACAACGTGAGTGAGAATTCATATTGCACTTTCCATTCCAGACATTGACTTTCAGATGGGGGCCCTGAGCCGCTGTGGCTCAGGGGTAAAGCCAGAGAGCCCCTTAAAGAGCGCTTTTCTCCCTCTCTCCCCTCTGAGAAACCTCTGTGTGGGGCATGGACTCACATAACGAACCAGACAGACAGGGCCTATGCCCTCCAGCTACTGGAGAGCAGCCTGAGGCTCCAGCATGCATGAGAGGAGGAGGAGGATGTGGGCCCACAGTGGAGGCCAGCCTGGCCCAATGCCTCAGGCTCAGCTGGCAGTAACCACACAGTCAGGAAGCCCCAGTCCCATGCCATCACAAGCACTGGCAGCCACAGAAGATGGGACAGGCTCTTCTCAGGCAGATGGTGAACAGGTGGTGATGGCAGTGGGAAGGCTCCCATGATCACCCTAGCCTGGCATGCACCCAAGTCACCGAACCCGTGGCTCAAAAATATATGCAGCAGACACCTCCCCAGGCCCAGTGCTACTAGGTCCTGCAAAGTGCAGCTTGTGTGTCCCAAGAAAGTACTGGATCCATGTCCCAAGTATAGGATCCTCGTCCCAAGAGAGAAACGGGAGCCCCGGGGCTGAGAGGCTCCCTGGGATGTTAGGTCTGTGCCTACAGTCTATGCCTTGGGATCACCCACTCAGAGCCTGTGTCCTCGTTTTTCCTTCTACCTGGCATGATCATCTCCACCTGCCACGCACTGGCTCCCTCCCAAGTCATACCTACCCTGAAGAGGAACCTGCTCCAAAGGAACTCTGTCTTACTCCAAACCATCGCAGTTCTCAGCGTGGCTTGGCCCTGGACTTGGGAGCAAATGCAGGCACCTAAGCTCTATTGCAGACCAGTCAATCAGAAGGAACTGGGGTGGGCTGTCATTTTACAGAACATGGGACTATGGGTTGTGCCTTAGTTGCCCCTGCTCCAGTTATGAGTGATATTTAAACCTCAAGAACAAATATCAATACCATGTTAGCTTTCACAGAATGCCTACTGTGTGCCAAGGATGTCCCATAATGCACAATGCTTCCTTCTGTGAAAGATCCCATGTAAGTCTCATAGTACCCCTGTGAGAGGTTAAAGGGCTTGTCCCACCGTCAACCGGAAAGAGGGGGAGCTGGAAACCAAACTCACCTGGACTCCCAGCCCATACTCATGCCCTACAGTTTAGGACAGAGAAGCCTGTGAACTCTGGGAATTGGTCATGCTGGAGCCTGAACTCTCCACACCCCTCCCCTTCTCACGAGCAGCCACCAGAAGCAATGTCTCCCCACTCCATCTCAGTTTCATCCCAGAGGCTGTTGGGAAGTCCCTGGGGTGTCCTGGGTCACAGCAGCCATCAGAGGCCTGTCACTCATCAGATGCCTTTCCCCCATCTGTTCCACAGGGCAAGGACTGCACCGTGCCCATCAACACCTGCACCCAGAACCCCTGTCAGCATGGAGGTACCTGTCACCTGAGTGAGAACCACAAAGACGGGTTCAGGTAATAGCGCAGCCCTGCCCTTCCTTCTTCTCAGAGAGCCTTCTTCTGGGTCAGCCTCCTGTAGAGGAATGCCAGTGTGGGAAGCATCATCCCTGCTCCATATAAAAGGAAACTGAGGCATTAGAGGACAAACTTTCCCCAAAGATACAAAGTACTGGTACAGGGATTTGAATCTAAGGGCCAGCCTCTACTCTCTGAGCCTGGAGGCTGTGGGTGCTGCTAAAGTCAGGGGACAGGACACTGGCTGAGAAACCCTCCCACCTGGCTGTCCCACCGCTCCTTCTGTGTCACAAATAACAGGGCTACTGCTGTCACATTGTGTGCCAGGTGGTAACTACACTTACAATATTATCTCTCCTAAACCTCCTCACACCTCTACTGGGGGAGAGGGGAGTTCAGCCTGCATGGAGCAGAGAGGAAATTGAGACACAAAGGCTAATGGTCGCATGCCCTGGCTCTGGCTCCTTGCTCTTCAAACCATGCTTCTAGTCCTTTTTTTTTTTTTTTTTTCTTTTTTTTTTTTTTTTTTTTTTTTTTTGGTTTTACAAGACAGGGATTCTCTGTATGCTTCTAGTCCTTTCTTACTAGGCGGTAACTCCTAGGAGTGGGATGGTGCCCCTGGCCCATCTGTCCCCCACCAGCTTTCAGGTGTGCAGTGTCCCCAGCTGTCGCCCCAGCAGAAGCAGATCACTGGGAAAGGGCTCCCACGGCACAGCGTGTTGGGCAATAAAGATGGGACCCTGGTGCCAGGCAGGCTCTGGGCAACGTCAGAGCCCAAATTGCACATAATTAACTATCAGAAGCCCTCCAGCCCAGGCTGCTGTGTGGTCTGGGGAAGAACTCTCCAGAGAACCCAGCTGGCCCATGCATCCTCCTGCCAAGCCAGCCCCACCCAACCCTGACTCCTGAAGAGTGGAACTCAGGAGCTATTCCTGTTCCCATCTGGAGGCAGCCAAACCATCCGCTTCCTGTTCACCAAGAGGTGACCATGGTGGTCCCAGACAGGAAGTGTACTTCCAGGGCTGGAAGTGGGTTCTGCCCCACTCAAGCCTGAGACAGGGTCCTGTGGTGGGGGCTGAGATTCCCTGACAGTGATTGACAGTGTCCGGTGGTGGGAGCAGAGATTCCCTGATGGTGATTGACAGGGTCCTGTGGTGGGAGCAGAGATTCCCTGACAGTGATTGACAGTGTCCTGTGGTGGGAGCAGAGATTCCCTGATGGTGATTGACAGGGTCCTGTGGTGGGGCTGAGATTCCCTGATGGTGATTGTTCACCAGGGCCCCACTTCACCATCAATTAGTCTTGGACAGTTTTCACAGGAACTGGAAACTTAACTATGAAAGACATAATGCCCAGCTCTACCGGACATGGGAAATGGGGCAGAAGGTTTGGGCAGAGGCAGGTGTAGGGGATGACATGTCTGTGGTGCTCCCGGGAAGAGCCTTCTGGTGCAGTGTTGCACTGTGGCAGGCAGACAGTAGAGGGTTGTGTAGATAGCTCCACAGCCCTCTTCAATCCTGGAGTCAGTTCCTAGGATTTCCCAGCTGCCCAGGGAGACTTAAAACAATGGAAACATTCTCTACAGTTCCAGAGGACTAGCACCCAACACCTAAGTGTGTGCAGGGTGCAGCTCTTCCTAAAACCTGTGGGAGGGGGCATCACCAGTCTAGTCCTGGATTCTGCTTTACTGGAAATCGTGGGCATTCCTTGGCTCATAGCTGCATCATTCTTGCTTCCGTCAGAACTAGAGTGATGACTCAGTGGTTATGCTCACTGGCTACTCTTCCAGAGGGCCTAGGTTTGGTTCCCAGCACTTTTAGGGTAGCGCACAACAGTCTGCAACTCCAGTTCCAGTGATCTGCTGCCCTCTTCAGGTGCCTATGGGTACTGCATGCACATGGTACACAAACATACACAGGTAAAATAACCATATACATAAACTATTTTTAAAGTATATGAAAAAATCATATACTTTTCTGCCTAGAGTATTAGAAAATAATAAATTTATTTTAAGCAATTCCCAGAGATGTGCATATATTATATATTATTAATTATTATATTATTAATATGTATTTACTATTTATTAAAGACATGGACAAATTTGTATACTAATAAAATTAATTAAATGTTGGCTAAATATTTGATATTGTAGGACGTAGAGCACCGTCAATGTTTTTTAGAATTGATAGAATCTTTTATTTTAAAACCACCAACTCTTAGAATAGCACTTAGCATAATGATGTAGTATAAAATGGCAGAAGTATATTTAGGACTATTTCAAAAATTGTTGGACATTCTATACTCAAACCAAGCCAAAATCCATTTAACAACTTTTTATGACACTCGTCAGCGACTCTGGTAGCATTTTTAGAATATTATTTACTCCTTGACAATTTCACACATGTGTACAATGTATCTTGATCATATCCAATCCCAATAACCCAGATCTCTATTAATACATCTGCCTTCTATCTTCAAGTCCCTTTGATTTAATAACTCACTGGTCCCAGTTAGTACTACCTGCATGCACATGGGAGTGGAGCCATCTACCAGAGCATGGGCAGCCTATCAACAGCTATACCCCAGAAAAAATGACCCTACCCCCTGCAGCCATCAGTTGTCCATAGCTCCTCAAGTAGGAATGTATCCTTTCCCACCCACCTGGAATGATGACTAGCCTGATCTTGTGCAGACCTTATGTAGGTAACCATAGCTGCTGTGAGTTCATGGGTGCCAACAGCTGTGTCGTTCCAGAAAGATAGTTTCACGGCATTCCTTACCATTCTCCAGCTCTTATACTCTTTCTGCCTCCCATTCCTTGATGTTCCTTAATGAGCCTTAGGGACAGTTAATGGGAATGTCTTACTTGGGGCTGAATACTCAATTATCACTTATCTTCTGTACTTTGACCACTCGGGTTTGATAGTAGCTCTAATCTATGGGTATAAACATATACTTAGAGGCATCTGAAAAACATGTCCGCTTAGCAAAACAACAGTATAAGGTTCCCACCTTGAACCCATGGCCACCTGAGCCATGGGCTTTGGACCAGGTGTTCAGTGTCAGGCAGGCATTCTCTCCCATGAAGCAGGCCTCACATCCAATCAGGAATTGGTTACACCCATAACAGTCATGACACTAGCACACCTGTGTTACATCTTGCCTAGAAGATCAATGCTGTAGCATTCGGGGTCTACCATTTTCTCCCCCAATGTCCTGAGTAGAACTTTCTTGAAATATGAAAACTAGTCAATAGAGAGATAGCTTCCCAGTCACTTCTAGCTTGATTTTCCTGTGTCCTAAAACCAAAGTGTCAAAGAGCAATTTTAATATTAAACATTCTAATACAACACAGTCCAAAGATATGCCAAATTGATGAGGAGTGGCGGGTAGGGAAATACTTAAAAATCCTTACTATTTTAGCTTGAAAACTTTATTAGTATTCACATTTTCTGCATTCGAGCTGCATATGTACAGCAAAAGCAGTGCAATTCACAGCACACAGAAGCCTCCAGTCTGTGCAGAGGTGTTTCGGGCACTGTGGCGTGACAGCATGCAGGATGCAGAGTGCGCGTAGATGCTCAGAAGCAACGCTGCAGAGAAGCCATGTGATGTGGCACCAGCAAGGGCTGCCACAAACACCTGGGGTTCATTATGCACTCCATTTTTTAATTAAATTTTGGACCGTGCTCCTTCAGAAACCTTTCACTGTTGCCAGAATTTTCACAATCCCTACATTCAGCTACAGGATCCCACATGGGGTCACAAGCCACCGTTTTAAAAGCTCCATCTTTGAGAACCCCTTCAAGGTACCTGATAAGGGCGGGAGAGACTTTGACATTCCCCCACCCTCTCTCCATCCTTAGCAACATCTACTCTGCTGACCAGCCATCATGTCCGTTGTCCCTGCCAAGCAATTCCAAGACCCTGGGAAAGTCCAAGGAAGGAATTGTTTGGGGGGAAACTAACAGTTACCACCCTTGTTTAAGATCGTTGACTACCTGCCCCTGTGTGGCATAAAGAATTGGCCCTTTGCATGATGCCCTGGGCCTGTAGCAGAAAGGGAGGATAATTTTACTCTACTGTTCATGAGTTCAATCCTCGAAAGTCCTTGGACTTTTGTAGAAAACATGATACGATTTTCAGGTTGTAAAGAAATGGGTAAAGTAGGATTCTGGGGGCATGAAATTTGCTTTCTCTTCATTTAGTTTGCCTTTTTCATCTATATCTAAAATCAGAGCAGCCTTGAAGTAGAGACCTGGACTTCAGGTCTAAAGCTGGAACCACTTTCGTGGATGTCCATAACTCCTTGACCAGAGTTTGGGTCCTGAAAGAGGGAACTTCGCAGAAGCACTTCATCAGACGCTAGCTCCCTCCCGCCCCTCAGCACTTCCTAACCCGTCTTCTTCAGTGCTGCCCAGGCCTTTTCTGTTCTCATTTAACTTCACATGCCCACTCCTATGAGCAAGGTTTGGCAGAGATAGGGTGGAGAGGTGTTCTCAAGCAGATGTACCACAGCAGAGGCACAGAAAATATTGATGGCCTTTGAGATAAGCTCACAGAGGCTCCTCAGTCTTGGCAAGAGAGGAGTCCTCCCTCTCCATCTCCTCAGAGGCAAGGGTGGTGGGACGTGGCAGAAATAGCAATAAGGGGGATGGTTCCAGTGGCTTTTGTCTGGAACTAAGTCCGCTGAGGGATTTCTCTGTTGATGTGTGCCCCTCCACACATTTTGGTTGCATATGTAACATCATTAGATCTTATCCACACACAAGGTCACACTTCTAGAAAGTGCCAGACCAGAAGGCATTCCCTCGAGGCCTAGTTGCAGAGTTGTGACCTTGACCAAGATACCTGATTTACCCCTCAACACAGAAAGTCTGCCTTAGAAGGAAACATTATAGGGAGTGCTTTTCTGCTCCTCTTGTCTACTCCAGAGAGGAGCCAAAGAAAGGGGAATTCAAATGCAGCTGCAGGGATTTAAGCCTTTTCCAGGAAACCACTTCTAGCTGAGGGGAGGTGTAGAGGCCTTGCTGGAGTAGAGCAAGGTAGGGGGCCAGAACATTGCCTGGAAAAGAGCATCTAGACAAGTGACCTTGTAGCTTCCTAAGTGTCTTCCTGCCCAAGGCCTCAGTGTCCACTATGCTGTCGTAGACCTCCAGCCACAAGAGAGAACTGATGATTGTGTTTTTTGCTCCTCCCCTTCCTGCCTTCCTCTAAAACCCACCCTGTTCCCTGGCCCTGGAATCGCCTCCTTTCTGTATACACGTCCCTAAAGCTGTTCCTGCCCGCTGGGTTTTGAGGGACAACGGTGCGAGATCAACCCAGATGACTGTGAGGACAATGACTGTGAAAACAATGCCACCTGTGTGGATGGGATCAACAACTACGCATGCGTGTGCCCGCCAAACTACACGGGTAAGGATATAGAGGGACGTGCTCATGCTAGTGTATTGTGGGGTGACGGGTGGTTTAGAATATCACTAGAGAATAAGGGACTCCATTCTGTATTGGGACTGAGACACCAAGACAAGAAAGGCCTCCCCAGTACCCTCTCTGTCGTTTGTCCCTCTCCTGCTGCCCCCACCCCACTTTGGAACACACTGCTGGGACTCATCCACCTGTCTGTGCAGCGCTCGTGGCCATGCCTTCCTTTGGGAACCCCACATTTGAGGCTGTGCACAGAGGTGCTTTTACACTTGGGGCCTTGTTTAGTTCTGGAAATCTGTCTTCCACACCCTCTTCTAGGAGCTGGGAATGCAAAAGAGACTTAAGCTCAGGCCCAGAATCATGAGCTTCCGTGGGAGGGAAAGCCCCGAGGACAGGGGTGAGACCACAGTGGAGAACTTACCCGGCTGGCAGATACATAGAAGGCTCCCATGGGAAGGATTCCTCCGCAGTGTCTTCCCAGCCGCCCACCCACCAAAGCCCAACACCTCTGCTTCCTACATCCACAAACCCTCATGAGGATATTTAAATACTCCTTTTGCTTGAGAAGCAAAAATGTCACCAGCTGATGCAAGCAGCCTGCTTTGTGGTGAGGTCAACAGGAAGTGGTGTATCCCAGACTGCACTTCCATGAAGTCTTTAAAAAAAGGAACCCATAGACTTTAACTCTGTGGTTTTAGAAAACAGTAATAATTATAAAACATGAAAACCACTGCATATAAGAATAGCAATCTGCTTGGAGCTGTGACCCAAACTGACATGGTGGAGTTGTGAGTATTCCTCCTTTAAGGGATGCTGTTTGTGTCCCTTCCCGATGTGTTTGATTTCCATGATTTCTTCTTACCCCACCCTGCAACACCACTACAGACCTAGACATGTTGTGTTGTAAGTAACATCATTTGGAAATCCAAAAGTAAGACAAGGAGAAAATGTGAAGGTGCCATTTCGGGGCTGCCATCCCCTAGTCCATGGAGCCCAGCTCTTCCGTGAAGTGGAGCAGGAGGGGGGGATATACAGGTGGGATCTGGAAGAAGTTGTCATGTCTGCAGAGGCAGAAGTGCAGAAACTCTTTGCCTCTCGGTAACTTTACTGTCAAACCCTCAGCTCAAGAGCCAGGGGTTCCCAAGAACAACTTTGGAACTCCTGACCATCCTAGATGCAGACAAGCCCTTTGTGCTGGGAGCATGTGCATCTTCTGAGAACATGGGGATAACCAAGGGTTGGCATTGGCAACAGACAACCATTACTGGGTACTTAGTATATGCAGAACACTGACATTAAGTCTGTGGTATGGCTCAGGGCTTCTCTTACCTAAGACAAGAGGAAGCCCTTTGCAGCATTAAATCTTTGTTCCAGAAGACTATGCTCAGTGCCAAAGTAGGATCACAGTGCCAGCAGCTAAGGAGAGGGTAGACAGGCTCAAATTAGCTCTGTAGCAGAGACCGACTTTAAAGAAATGCCCAGCATGCAGATGGGCATGGAGGCGGGGACCTGAGGTATGTCTTCTGCCCCATTTCCATGCAGCCCACCTGATATTTGCAGGTGACCAGGCCACTGCAGTGCAATTGGCATCTGAGAGGGGAGTGTTATGGCTTCTCTGTCTCAAAAAGCATGCACATCCTACCCAGATACTTGACTGTGTCCCCGAGTCTCTGCAGGGGACTAGGAAGAATTCTTCTCCCTGACCAAATGCTAAGAGATACTGTTCAGGTCCAAATCAAGGAATGGCAGGGGTCAACCTGTCCCCACCACAGCACAGACCAGTCTCCTGCAGCCACTGGCCAGCCACCTATATACTTCTTATCCCTTTTAGTTTCCTATTTGTTCCTGACCTCAACCCCCTGGCCTTCTGGGAAAGGGCTTCTAAGGTTAGAAATTTTCCTCTCTTAGATCACCTTCTAATTGGCTTTATGAAAATAAAATCCAGGCTCAGTAGTTCAAAGCACTGGCTGCTCTTTCAGAGGACCTGGGTTTGAGTCCCAGCACCCACATGGTGCTCACAGCCATCTCTAACTCCAATACTGTGGGATCTGATGCCCTCTACTGGCCTCCACAGGTACCAGGCATGAATGTGGTCACAGACATACATTCAGGCAAAACACCTATACACATAAAAATAAAAAGGGAAATTAAATAAAATCCTGGCCTTAGACTCATTCGCTATGATGCAGTCCCGCCTCCTCACCCTGTAACTACATTTCTAACACATATTTTCAGGTGATGCAGGCTTATCAGATTTAATTCATGCTCACCATCCCTGGGTACTTATGACACATTAATCATGTTGCAGCGCTGTGGACTTCAAAGGTAGTATATCCAGAGATCAGAACTGCAGGCTCCTTCATTTCCTGCTCTGAAGCATCCAACTGACTTTCTTGACTATAGCAGATGTAACAAGTCTGGTCCATTTTCCCAGGAAGCTCCCCTGACCTCCTAAGCAATGTTATGAGTCCCCCCCTTTTGTCCACAGTTCACTGTCATGGTGGCATTCACAACTGTTTGTGAATGTTTGCAGATTACTCTCGCTAAGCAATGGACGAGGATAAGACTGGTTACTGTTGTGTTCCCAGCACCTGGTACAGTGCCTCCCAGTCAATAAATAGATGGTGAATAAGAAAATAATCAACATGAATAGGCGTATCCCAAGCTCAGGGCCTAACCTGTGGCTCCAGAAAAGTCAAAAACATCAGCCAGATGGTGTTGAGTGGCAAGGAGAGACCCCAGGGACCTTCTCACTGGCACTCTAGGGAAACTGAGTCAGGAGTCCAGTAGAAAGGATATACCAAGAGAAGAATGTAGGGCTCCTGATGTCTGTGACTTATGACCTAGAATGGAACAAGTCTGACCTTGTGGCCTTGGTGACCTCCAGTACCCTTCCAGATGCCTAATTTCTCTTTGTCATGATCTGCAGGGGAGCTGTGTGACGAGGTGATAGACTACTGTGTGCCAGAGATGAACCTCTGCCAACATGAGGCCAAGTGCATCTCCCTGGACAAAGGGTTCAGGTAAGGCCTGGTCCCGTGTTCTGGCACTGAGCCCTGCGGACTCTGCCTCCAACAGCCTGGGGTTGAGGCTCTGAGTCGGGTAGTGTCTGTCTCCCCTGCAGTCTGTCTCCCCATTTCCTCTCTCCTGTACTCTTGTGCATCTCTAGCTGACCCAGGCCTGGTCGTATTTCCACAAATTGCCTTTATCTTTTTAGTTTCTTCCTTTCCGTATCTTTCTGATGATAGAAACAGATGAAGAGATGGATACATTCCCTCTTCCTCTCCCCCTCCCTTTGCCTTCTCATTCTCTTCTGCCTTCTCCTCTCTTAGCATGTCTCTCCTTCCCAGCACTGAAAGGGAGGGACCAGCCACAGAAGGAGCCATCAAAGGTTGATCTACCATCTGAAAGATGTCTGGTCACCTACTCAATGTGTAGCCTTCCTGGTGGGCCACCTTCACAGTCCTGATTCCCCGTGGCCACAGGAAGTTTGCTAGACTGCACCTGTGGAAGGGAGATGATGGGACCAAGATTTCTGAGTAGGTTCAGCAGCCACTGCTATTGGCAAAGCATCCTCCATTTCCAGCAACAGAGGCAGAAGGGGACCGCATGAAGAATTTTTAGAGTTAAGAAGAGGCATCCTGTGTGTATCGTCCCATATGCGGTCTTGTTTTTTTTTCTTTCCCTGTGTGTGTGCGCACATGTGAGTGGGTGCACTGGCCAGCATGGCATGTGTATAGACCACAGGTCGGTGTAGAATGTTGAAAGAGAGTCTCTTTCTAAGCCTAAGTTTGTGGAACCATGACTGGCTTTTATGTGGGTTTTGGGGGAATCTAAACCTGGGTCATCAGGCTTGCACAGCCATCTCCCCAGATCTGTATTATCCTTTTCTGTTGTGACATCCTGGGCCTGTTGTTCATCTCCAGGGCAATTGTAAGAGGCGTGAGACCTCTGACTTTGCCGAGATAAAGGAAGCCACGGCTGCTGTGAGAGCCACCCTGATCTACTCTGCCTACCTGCTCATGCCCTTCTGATATATGCTAGGAAGGAGTTTCAGGAGGTGGGGTCACCTGAGTGCAACTCCCAGACTCCCTCCACCCCAGCATCCAATTGAGAGCTTCTACTTGCTAAATACCAGGCTGTATTCTGCAAGTGAACAAAACTGTATGAGGTGAAACCTGGAGATAAGAAACATGCAGAACCCATGCTTGGACCCAAAGCAGACTGCCCAGACTGGCAGCCAAGAGCTTCGGGAGAGGCAGGAAGGGAAATGAGTGGTGACTAGCCCTCAGCTACACAGAGTGAGGAGGTGGATATCATTCAAGGTCAAGTGGGCAGACAGCAAAATAAGAAGGCACAGACTTTGAAAATACACAGCGGGGCCATGGAAACTGGTCAGACGTGGGTGTGGACACAGTTAGAGCTGCCAGATTATCCATGATCCTCTGATGTTTGTTCTGAAAACCTCACCCTCTGCTATAACCAAGGGCCCTTGAGTCTGGGACAATACAGGAAAAGAAGACACCAGCCAAGCTTTCCTTGAGTCATCTTATTTACATGTCACGTCATGTCTCCTAGGAGACAGTATCTCAGAAAGTATATATAAGCAACTCAATAATGGTAGGGTTTTTGTTGTTGTGGGTTTTTTTTTTGTTTGTTTGTTTGATTAGTTGGTTGGTTGGTTGGTTTTTCTAGACAGGGTTTTTCTGTGGCTTTGGAGCCTGTCCTAGAACTTGATGGGTAGACCAGGCTGGCCTGGAACTCACTCTGTAGACCAGGCTGGCCTGGAACTCACAGAGATCCACCTGCCTGTGCCTCCCGAGTGCTGGAATTAAAGGTGTGTGCTACCACTGCCCAGCAGTTATGGTAGTTTTTATATTAAAATGCATTTAAACAAAAATTTGTTCTCCCAATGAGGCATTTTATTATCATGCCCCCCTCCCATCATCAAACACCTGGTATCCCACAGCAGCCTAGAGGGGCATTAATTAGAGAGGGTGATGCAGTCGGAATAGCCTTTCCTTATCTTTGGAGACACTTTAATGAGGTCTCAAGGTCAGGCAGATCTACTCAGAGACCCTGAAAATTATGAAGATCTCACTGGTTCATGTATACTGAAAACTGTGTAGTACCTGGTCTCATGAACACTTCGTGTTCCCAGTGGAGAAACTGGGGCCCTCACAGCACAGACCCAGTGACACAGACCCAGCTGCCAGGGAACTAAGAGAGAGGAGGAGCTGCAAGTCAACCCAGGTTTGGGTGATTTCTCAGCTAGACCCAGATACTCCAGGTGTCCTGGGCCCACCGTCACTTAGAGCCAACCCAGACTTTACGTAACATCAACATGGAAGATACAGCAAAATGTTTGAAAGCTGCTTCTGTGATCTGAGAAGTATGTAGATCCTTCTGTGGGTCCTCAAACTGGCACCTCCTGGAAATGTGTTAGGAATGAAGTGCCCTGTCCAGGACTCCCTGGGTCAGAGGCATCATTGTGTGTGCGTGCATGCATGCGTGTGTGTTTGGAGACAGTGTTCCTCTGTGTAACCCTGGCTTTCCTAGAACTCACTCTGTACACCAGGCTGACCTCAAACTCATAGATCCACTGGCCTCTGCCTCCCGAGTACTGGGATTAAAGGTGTGTCCCACCAATGCCCAGTGCTTTGTTTTTTTGTTTGTTTGTTTGGTTGGTTGGTTGGTTGGTTGGTTGGTTTTTGGGGTTTTTTGTTGTTGTTTTATGGCAAAATCCTTAGGTGTTTCCTTTGCTCCTTAATGTCTGAGAAGGCCATGCCCATGGAAATCTGTAGATACTCTCACCTCCAGGCCTCCACCACAGAGTTTAAAGGTGGGAGTAGCTTGCCTTGAACTTCATGTTTTAAAGGTTGGTTTTTATCCTGTTAAATGTTGTGCAGCTGTTTTGAACCTTGGCGAGAGTCAGTTATTTTCAGCTGCTCTCCAAGGCTCTTTTGGATCCAAGTAATAAAACTCAAATACCTGCCAAAGCTAGAGTTTGATTTTGGTTTTGGGGTTTTTTTGTTTTTGTTTTTGGCTTTTGTTTTTTGTTTGTTTACTTTTTGGCTAGTTTACAAAATAATGGGTTTCATTTTGACATTCTGATTCACATACATCATTGTGCCTTGTTCATACTGGCCTTGCCACCCTCTTCCACCCCTCCTCCAGGCCCAGTTTTACCAGCAGCTAAAATGATGAAGCATATCCCCAATGCCTCACATTTCTAGTTTGTTTCTGTAGAAAATTGACTTGAATCAGTTTTGGTGGCAGAAATTTCTTTAAAATTTTTAAGGATTTATTTTTATTTTATGTGTGTAAATACACACACATACATACACAGAGAGAGAGAGAGAGAGAGAGAGAGAGAGAGAGAGAGAGAGAGCCTGGTGCCTAATGAAGGCCAGAAGGGTCATCAGGTACCCTGAAAGGAGAGGTGTATACTGTTGTGATCTGCCACTTGGGTGCCAAGAACCAAACCTGGATCCTCTGAAAAACCAAGTACTCTTAACCAATGAACCATCTTTCTAAATCTGCCCACCCCCAGGTTTTTTTATTTATGTGTATATATATATGTGTGTGTGTGTGTGTGTGTGTGTGTGTGTGTGTGTGTGTGTGTGTGTGCAAATTCCTGCAGAGGCCCCAAGAGGGTGTCAGATCCTACTGGAACTACAGTGACAGGTGGTTGTGAGCTGCCTGTTGTGGCTTCTGGGAACTAAACTTGGGGCCTCTGTAAGAGCAGCAAGTGCTCTTAACTCTTGAACCATCTCTCCAGTCCTCATTGTAGACACTCTAGCACTAGAACTTAGAGATCCCAATTGAAGAGTCAAGAGTTTGAGGTCATCCTGGGCAGCGTGGAAAGTTTGAGGCTAACCTGACTTTGTTGCAAGACTTTATCTTTAAAAAAAAAAAAAAGCCAGAGAGGGAGGGAGGGAAGGAGAGGGAGAAAGAGAAGACAGACAGACAGACAGACAGACTTTGGCACACCACATCCCTAAACTACGTTCTGCTGCAGCTGTATGTTGCACACTTAGATTTGCCCTGGGAGAGTACTAGTAAAATTCACCAGATCTGAACACACAGGCCTGCCCAGGCAGTCTTCAGATTCTGGAACTATACCCACCATGGCCCTTCAGAATCTTCCCTGGCCATCCACTTACCTAGTTCTGGCATGACACTGGGGTTCTACCCCACTCTTTCTATGGGGAAGGAGTGCAGTGAGGGAGGGAGGGAGGGAGGGAGGGAGGGAGGGAGGGAGGGAGGGAGGGAGGGAGGGAGGGAGAAGTGTTTCCTCTCCCACCCCACCCCCAAACAGAGTCAGACCCTGAGTGTGTAAGCCACAAATTCAGAGCTCTTACTCACCCTGCACTCCCCGACTGTGCCCCCTCCCCCATGCCTTGGATAGATGACATTTAATTTTTGCTCTGCCCAATAGAATTGAGCTGATGGGCCGGAGAGGGGCACAGGTTATGCAGAACGGAGCGAGGCAAGTTAACACTGTGTGGATGTGTTTGTAGGGATGCCTTAGCCCTGGGTGCTCTCAGATCTGTTTCTAGGCAGGGGTTTCAGTTTTGTGTTAGCTCAAACAAATGAGCCCCAGACACCTACATACAGGCTTAGTGTGGATGGTAGGGAAGTGTGGTAGGGCTGTGAACCCGAGGCTCTCTAGGGAAGGACTGAACCAGCTGGCCTGGGGCTTTCACGAGGGCAGCCGCTTCCGTCGTGCCCTCTGGGAAATGAGAGCTTTTAATCCTTCCTAACTTGGTTTGAATGTCTGAACAAACAATAAAACAAAGGCAAGGGCATACAGAAGCCATCATTTCCTTCATCCTTGGTCATCGTGTCTATCCTGCACTGTCTGACTTTACACAATGTTCACTGCACTCCAGAGTAGTAGAGTTTATGGAGGAGTCATGACTTTGAGAGAACGTGCAAGCCAGAGAGGCCATGAGTGACCACTACACCTAGAATAGCATCTGACACAGTCAGTGTAGCTGTCACTCGATGAGGCTTCAGGGAGGTGGCTTGAGTGCTTTCTGGATGCCACTTTGGGTAGGGCCTCCCCCGCAGTCCCCTGAGGGTCTGATGAGATCCCCCTTGAAGGTGCCCAGCCTCGTGTCTGACACGAAAGGTGGAAGGAACCAGATCTGCCCCCCAAAACCTGTATGATGCCACCTGTGCCCCAGCCTGGTTCTGAAAACAAAACTTGCCCCTTACAACAGACAGACCTTGACTCTGAGAGCAAAGGCTATGCTCCGTGAGTGGAGCCCAGCAGCAGAGGCAGGCCTGGTGAGCCCTTCAGGGGCTAGAGGAAATGGAGAGAGAGCTTTGGCAAGGGGAGGCACACGGGCACCTGCCAGCAAGTCAGCAGGCCCTCAGCAAGTTTCTCTCCGCCCGTGTTGCAGGTGTGAGTGTCTTCCCGGTTACAGCGGGAAGCTGTGCGAAACAGACAATGACGACTGTGCTGCTCACAAGTGCCGCCACGGAGCCCAGTGCGTGGACGCAGTCAATGGCTACACGTGCATCTGCCCCCAGGGCTTCAGGTACGACCGAGGAAGGTAGCCTGGACTAGACGGCAGGAGGAGGCAGGGATGCAGGCCTGTCTACAGAAGTTAGACTTGAGTCCAAGCTCACATTGTCACACGTGTGTGACTCTACCTAATGGAAGATCTTGGAGCCCAGCTTGTGGGATTGCTTGGAAACCAAAACACATACACATACTTGTAAATATCAAAGGACAATCTGAGAGTCAGTCAGTCAGTTCTCTCTTCTACCATGGGTCCCAAGAATCAAACTCAGGCCATCGGGCTTGGCAGCAAGCACCTTTACCCACCGAGCTGGGTTATTTTGCCTCCATTGACTCAGACTTTTAAAAAAGAGAGAGGCTGAGGCTTAAAGGACCTGCTCCCGATAGAGGCAAGAATGGAACTTCCCACCATAACTCTCCTCTTGATGAATAACTATGGTTGTCTCCTCTCTCCCGTGTCATCTTCCCAGTGGGCTCTTCTGTGAGCATCCTCCACCCATGGTTCTGCTACAGACCAGCCCCTGCGACCAGTATGAGTGCCAGAACGGGGCACAGTGCATTGTGGTGCAACAGGAGCCCACTTGCCGCTGTCCCCCAGGCTTTGCTGGGCCCAGGTGTGAGAAGCTCATCACCGTGAACTTCATAGGCAAGGACTCCTATGTGGAACTGGCTTCCGCCAAGGTCCGGCCCCAGGCCAACATCTCCCTGCAGGTATGCTCTTCCCCTCCCAACTACCATCCTTGGAAGGACCAGTGTGGCACCCCTCAGAGTACAGCTGGAGTTTCCCAGATCATTAGCAAGCCTGCCTCTTTTCCCAGAACATAAAAGACAGTGTTCAGCTCTGCAGGAACTGGGCAGGCCGGGAGCAGTCCATAAGGGACCTCCTGGTGAGTCTCACATCAAGAGTCAGCTCCTTGCAATCTCACTCATTCATTCCTTAAAATCACTCCACCAACTATCCCATGCTGGACGATGGGGACTGGATGGTATGGTGGACAAAACAGCCAGGGTAGCAGGGAAAGAGAAGATGATAAGAGAGGATGGATGCTAAGAGAAGACAGAGCACATGCTCCTGGCCTGCGGGGAGGGATCAGGGAAGGCTGTCTAGAGGCAGGAAGACCTAATAGATCTGAAGCTTATGTGGCACTTTGCCTAAATTGTGGGGAGAAGGATAAACTGGGGGTGGGGGGAACCCAAGGAAAGAACAAAGGCCGGGGAGGAGCCAGCAGAGAGCTACATTTGCAAAGACCTAGAGGCACAGGCAAGCAGGACACATTCAGGGAATGGGAAAGAGTTTAGCATGAACCTAGCTGCTTTCAGCCCCTTAGCCTCAGGGACACAACTGGACGGTGCAGGCCAATTAGTAGCCCAGGTGCTGCTGGTTACTGCTGGGCACAAACTCTGCAACATCAGCCAAGGTTTAATCTGGAGCTTTGGAGTGAAACACTCATTCAGCAAGGATCTCTTGAGCACCTAAACACAGCAGGGTCTGCTCCAGACTGTAGCTGAAGGATACAGAACTCTCCCTGCAGAGCCTGACTGATGGGCAGGACTGTACCGTTGGCATCGATGTTACCACAAATAGGAAGCTCTAACTCCCCCCAGTCTCCTCTTCCTCCCTTCACTCTTCCCTACCTGAACAGCCTCCAGTGCTCCAGACACCCAGTTGTGCTATAAGATATACCTGCTGCCCGTCCAGTCCTCTGGAGCCTCACCCAGCAACGAGCTGGCCTGTACGGCAGCTTCTCCTGAAGCCTGGCTTCCAGCCTCAGCAAAACTTTTGTTTGCCCGCAAAGACTCATATGCTCCCCAGATGGCTCTGAAGACATTATTTGCTTCATGGGATACACTGAGTAAAGCTCTGGTCTTTAGCCTTTGTTTACAAAGTTAGTATGTTACAACATGCAGAGAGATGGGCTTCAAAGGGGGCAGGTACTTTGTTGGATTGTACTGTATACCGGTAGGAGAGACAGATTAGAGTTGGAGCCTCCTAATGTATATAGAAACCAGCCCAGTTTCTGTCTCTGCACACCAACCAGCCACAGACCGAAAACATTTTTTTAATTGTCACTATCTTGAACACGTGTGAGCAAGCTTAGCACCTGCCAGGTATGTCCAGCCCATTGCCCTCAGGGCATGTGTAGCCAAGGGTAGCTATGAATATGAGCCAGACAAAATCGGAAAGTATAAAACATTATGAGACTTTTTAATTGTGAATTTTTTAAAATAAATCTACTGCACAATTCTCCGGCCTGAATTTGTAGATGACGGGTTATAGCACAATCTCAAAAGGTTGGGCGTGATGGTAACTGCTACATATGCATTACACCTAGTACAATAGCGTTTTCCTGGTGTCAGGTTCTTGCCATTCATCTAGAGAAGGTGGAAATCACATGGGAGGAGTGCATGGATTCAGTGCAGATACTCTTATATAAAGGACTCGAGCACCCCTGAACCGTCAGTTACCTTGATGTCATGGCACATAGTGCATGCTCAATGTATATTTGTTGAAGCAATTTACTCAGTCTGCACTTGCAGTGTAAGCTTAAGTCTTGCCTTCTGGAGTAGACAGGCCAGATGGGGGGACAAGATATAGATTTGAATTCCAATCTGGTCTAGGCTCTGACTGAGACAGCCACCTGAAGAGGGTGCTCAGAGTGGGTCAGGAGAGGTTGGGACTTGGGTAAGACCTAACTCACACACCCTGGTTGCTCTCCCTAGGTGGCCACTGACAAAGACAATGGCATCCTTCTTTACAAGGGAGACAACGACCCCTTGGCACTGGAGCTGTACCAGGGCCACGTGAGGCTGGTGTATGACAGCCTGAGCTCCCCTCCGACCACCGTGTACAGGTAAAGATACCCCTCCCAGCCACAGAACATGTTCCTCCAGAGTAGACACCAGGTGACTCTGAGGCCTCCTGTCCCACACAAGCACACTTCTCACAGAGTGGCAGGTGGAGGGAGAAAGGTACTAGAAGCAGGAACGGAAGGCAGGCCCAGTGCGGAGATGACACCTCATTACCATAAGATAAATGGCCAGCTGGCTACTGTGTGTGGAGCCAGGTGCTCCAATGGAGATGAGGCTGCTTAATGAGGTGCCCTTTTCAAAATGTCATCCTAATCTTTTATTAGTTTAAGAAAGAAAGCAGGGCGATTAGCATGCAATTCAAGAAGGGGAAATTCAAGAGCACCCAGGGAACAGGACTGTGCTAAAGTGACTTTCAAACTGTTCTGAAAGACGGTGTTTCCTAAACTTGAAGTCTTTTTAACAGTCGCCCTGTAGGTTGGGCAGCTTGCTGTAACAAAATACCAGAGAAGACCAACTTATAAAGAGGGAAAGTTGCAGGGCATTGGTGGCATACGTACGTATTTAATCCTAGCACTCAAGAGGTAGAGGCAGCAGAGATCTCTGTGAGTTTGAGGCCAGCCTGGTCTACAGAGTGAGTTCCAGGACAGGCTCCAAAGCAATACAGAGAAACCGTGTCTCGAAAAACCAAAAAAAGAAATAAAATGGAAATAAAGAGGGAAGGGTTCTCTTGGCTCACAGTTTTAGAGATTTCAGTCTATGTCATTTGGCTTCACCACTTTGACTCTCTCTTCATGAACAAGCTGCTCACATCATGGCAGCTGAAAACCTAGAGAGATAAGGGGGCCAGAGTCCCCTCATTCCCTTCAGGCTATGTCCCTCAGTGAGCAGAGGACTTCCCACTTCCCACATAGGCCCTACTTCTTGAAGGTTCCACCACCTCCCAGGGGCCCTACAGACTCTGGACCAAGCCTTCAACACACAGCCTTCGGGGGACCCCTAGCTGCAGACTGCACCCAGCCGCTTTCTACATGACTGCTGTGCAACGCCCCCCCTTGTGCCCCCTTCAGCCCACATTCAGCCTGCTCACTCTCTTCAACCTTACCTAGGGATGGCTTTGTAGACACGCCCATTCACTCTAAATGTTTTCTGCCCTCTCGTGAAGGACAGAGTCCGCATCCCTCATCTGAAGTAATTCTCCAGAATGATAAACTCTACAATACTCAACAGTTTTCAGTTCTTAGAGCATTTGAGGTGCAGGGCAGTCAGTCCCTAACCTGTATGCAGTTCAAGCTGAGAAAAACTACTTTTGATCCTGATCACTTCAGCTAATGGACACTCAAGCCTCTACCAAATAATGATTAAAATTGAAAGCTGGTTATATTTTATGATATATTCTATAATAACCACTAGAGACTTCAGTGCCTGTCTGTGTTACCCTTGAGTCATGTAAAACCAACAGCAGGAGTCAAACTCAAGAAAAATGTACACAGAAGAGGCCACACATGCACACGCACACACACACACACACACAAGCACGCACACACACACATGTATACACATATGCATGTACACACACATGCACACACATACACATGCATGCACATACACATACACGCATACACACACATGCACACACACATGCACACACATACACATGCACGCACATACACATGCACACACACACATACACATGCATGCACACACACACACTTAGTGGAGTGGGAGCTGGAAGAGAGCAAGCAATGGAGGAGGAAACAGTGATTCTCAGAGCAGAGTGTGGTCCTGAGGCGGCAACACCTAGTGAGCTGGAGAAGATACAGAAATAAATACACACCTTCAGTCCTTACCCCACAGGTGATGGTTCTGCAGCTGCCAGGGAGAAGATACAGAAATAAATACACACCTTCAGTCCTTACCCCACAGGTGATGGTTCTGAAGCTGCCAGGGAGAAAATACAGAAATACACACCTCAGTCCTTACCCCACAAGTGATGGTTCTGAAGCTGCCACGGAGAAAATAGCAAATCTGTGTTTAAGGAATCTTTCAGGTGACTCTCATGAATTAAAAAAAAATGTTTTTGAGCCAAGATCCTACTGTGTCACCCATCTGGCCTGAAACTCACTGTGTAGACCAGGCCAGCCTCAAACTCCCAGAGACCCACCTGCCTCTGCCTCCAGAGCACCGGGATGAAAGGTGTGCGCCACATCCCGCTTGATCCATGAATTTCAGAAGCGGGGGGGGGGGGTTGAATGTGTGAAAAGTCCCTAGAGAAGGAGCTGCTTGTGTTGGGTTGTGAATGGAGAACGTCGTATGTGCAGAGAGGCCAAGTAGACGGATTGGGTCGGGACAGCAGCAATGACAAGAGACAGAGCAGAAGGCTCTCAGGATGAAGAGAAACAAGACCAGCCTCGGGCAGTAGGACACAGCACACACTGTCTCCTAACATCTTTGTTCCTGAAACTGGTGACCTTGAACCACGTGGGAAGGGCAGAGAGTAGGAAGGCAGGGCCAATGGCCGCCTGACAAGCCATATCCCTGAGAGAAAGCCCTTGGTGTCACTTAAAGGGTAAAAAAAATGGTCTCCCTCTACTTCCTTGGCTGATTTCCTATGGCACTGGTGGGTATTTCCTAGGGTGCTGGTAAGTGTAAAACAGTATTTGGCAAATGAGCCATGGTGTGGACTGCTCAGGGCAGAAGGTTAAAGACAGGCTTCCAGAAGCAGCTGGGCTCTATGCAGAGTGGGGAGCATTCTGGAAACACTATGCCAAGTAGGAAACCACTGCTACCTCCTAAAGCTGCTACCCGGGAGTTGTATGAGTTTACCAAGTCCACTAGGAAGATGGTGTGCCCTTGGGAAAAAAAATGATGTGCCCATCCTGGGGACAGAATGTCAGAGCCCTTCCACTCATAATCATAAGGGGCCCCAGACTCCAGAAATCCCACATAAAAAAGGTGATTTTTATGGGGCAGTTAATGTATGTTTATATGCACATCATCTACATAGTCTAAAGGCAATTTTAGAAAACATGAAGTATTTTTTAATAATACCTGTTTTGATTACCACCCATCACATGGGGTCATATGTGGAATTTTCCACTTGTGACACCATGTTAGTGCTCAAATTTTTCCATATTTTTGGAGCCGTTTTACATTTTGATTTTCCGGTATAGGAATGTTCGACCTGAACTATTATCTCTCACTCACTGACTTGGCAAACACCTGTCAGGCACCTGGACCAAGTGTAGGGGACACAAGATTAAACATCCCACACATAGAAGAAGACACACATGTTGTGTGTCTACCCAGGAAGAATCTAACAAGCCTCCCTGGAGGCTCCCAAGCCTGCTGTGGTGATACTTCTGAAGAAGGAGCAATGTTCCTGCCTGGAAGATAAGGGAAAGCTCCCAGAGGAAGGAGCCTAACTTAACACTAAGGGGCATTTGATACCTTCTGAATGCCATGCTCGCAGAGGCTGTAATTCACAACTGGTACTCTGTGAGCTGCCAGGAGCTGAGGGGTCAGGAGGCCATTCCTCAGAGTCACTGCAGTGACGTCTTGCCACCTGGAGGATATGCCAGCCTTGTATGAAAGCCAAGAAGCCAAACCAAAGCTAGCCTATCAGAGGAGTTGGCAGCCTACAAATTTCTGTTCCCTTAGACTCCCGTGAAAAAGCCTCAAAGACGGGTGAGCTGTCAGGGCCTCTGCAGACTTCACTCTCCTGGAGCAAGCAGATTCCAGGGCCTCCCTTCTGCCCATCCCTGATTCTGCTTAGGTCCCCAGCAGTCATGAGAAGTGAAGGAGCATGACAAGATTCTACTGTAGGTCACAGGGCAGACACACAGCCAACCACCTGGGGCTTTCCTGCCCCAGAATAGGCCAGGCCTTCGGTATACAGACTTTCCATGGTTTCTTCTGCCCACGCGGCCAGAAGAACTCCTGTGGGTGCTGTTGTGAGGTAGGAGCTACAGATTATCAAGAGAAACTGGATAGTCAGAGTTAGGGGGACGTGTCTTGGGTTTTTGTTTTGTTTTGCTTGTTTGATTTGTTTTTTAAGGCTTGCCATTCAGAATTCCATGCATGGGTCAGCTCTACCAGGCTTTGTCCTATTCGATCCTCAGCACATGAACTAGTGAGCGTCATCACTCCTGTTTGAGGGATGGGAAGCCTGACTGCCCAGGGTGGAAAGAGCTTTGGCTTAGACACTGCTCCGGTTTCCATTAAACCCATCCTCCCACTGTGGTGTCTGCAGGCTGTGCCTAAAGAAATCACAGGGCTTTGTTCCTGCAGGGCTCTGCCGCCACCTATTGGTCACTCCTGGCATCCACGAGAAATGACCCCCTGATAATGTTTTCTGTACACTGGCCCAGAGTCCCACAGCTGGGAGACAGGAACTTAAGTCCTATACTATTTCCACTCGAGGCACTAGATTATAAGTCTCCTGTTCCCAAATGAGGAAAGATGTACCTCCTGCCTGCTGGCTTGTTAGGGGTAAATTAAGGTTTTCAGCTTCTGCCCTTACCCCATACCCTACTTACTGCCACTATTAAAAGCTTGCTGCTCTTGCAGAAGACCCAGGTTCGGTTCCCAGAACCCATACTGTAGAGCTCACAACCACCTGTTACTCTAGTTCTAGGACAGTTGTTCTCAACCTGTGAGTCACAACCCCTTTGGGGAGCTGAACGACCCTTTCGCAGGGGGCGCCTAAGACCATCCTGAATATTAGATATCTACATTACGATTCATAACACTAGCAAAATTACAGTATGACGTAGCAATGGAATAGTCTTATGGTTGGGGTTACCACAACACGAGGGACTGTGTTAAAGGGTCATAGCATTAGTAAGGAAAAGAACTATGGAATCGAAAGTTTTATCTATAAACCCTATCTCTGGCATGTATTAGCTGGATGACCTCAAACAAGTCACTGTCTGGGGCTCAGTGTTTTTATCTGCAAAGTGTGTTATCTGGTACCTACTTCGTAGAATTATCAAATAATATAGGTAGGTGATTTAACACCATACATGGCCCATCCTGAGGCCCTGCTCTACCACATATTAGCTAGGGGAGGGGAGAAAGCAGCTCCGTTTCCCTAAGCTTCCAAGTCTATAGCTCTGGGATGAGAATAGACTCACCTTAGCTGTAGCATGCTCAGAACTGGTGGTGATACAACGGATTTTAGGCGAAACAAACAAAAACTACTGAACTCTGCCTAGAGAGAGTTTGTTTCATACATGCTAAGGAAACAAAAATCACATCACACTCAAACACTTTCTCCCAGGTGTTTGCTAGAGCAAAGCTAACTGCTCGGTGAGGTTGACGGAGGAAATGGGGCATCTGAAGGGATTGCATCTTCAGTGAGCAAGTGTCCAGGCAGTGTGTGGGCCCGGCCAACCTGAGGTGATGAGCTAGGCATAGCTTGCCCACTCTGTGAAGGGGCCAGGGCGAGAACTGAGCAGCTGCAGTGCCTCTAGCCTGAGTCGGAGGTGGGCTGGGCACCCTGCTACAGGAGCCATCACTGGGGCCGCTGCTCGTCTCCTGAGTCGGAGGTGGGCTGGGCACCCTGCTACAGGAGCCATCACTGGGGCCGCTGCTCGTCTCCTGAGTCGGAGGTGGGCTGGGCACCCTGCTACAGGAGCCATCACTGGGGCCGCTGCTCGTCTGAACATTGAGAGAGTCGGCATGAATGTTAACTGCTCACACAGGACACCGTGCCTATGTGAGAAAACAGCCCTGACCTCGGGAGTCACACTCGAGGGATCCAGAGATCAAGGGTCACGACATGCATAGCTTACCCTTACATGGCTCAGGAAAAAAAAAAAAAGCATGGTGGTGGGGTCCAAATGGAAATAATTGAAGAGCCTGGGCAAAAGGGCATTTTCTGTTTTTATCTGGGCAACTTCTGTAACTCACAGTTGTTTCCACACGGAAACTGAAGCAGATTACAAGCAGTGCGAATCCAAACCGCAGCCCCGTGCCTGGCCCTGGAACGTGCTTCACCTCTGGCTCTCTCTCCCTTTCTCTCCTGTCCAGCGTGGAGACGGTGAACGATGGTCAGTTTCACAGCGTGGAGCTGGTGATGCTAAACCAGACCTTGAACCTGGTGGTGGACAAAGGAGCCCCCAAGAGCCTGGGGAAGCTCCAGAAGCAGCCAGCCGTGGGCATCAACAGTCCCCTCTATCTTGGAGGTAACACCCCCATCACCACCTTGCCCCACCCTGTGTCCTTCTGGCTTTCTGCTTCTGCACGGACACCCACACCTGATGCCAGGGGTCTCCTTGATGTCCTGTTGGCACCTACTGCCAAAGTCAAGGGAGCCTTCCCGGAGAAGTAATGACAAAAATGGCTGCTGAAAGCCCAGCCATGGGGAACAGATGCTGGACAGATGCTTGTCAAGGAGAAAGAGTGAGCCTCTGTGGGAGTAACAGATGTGCAGGGAGGGGAGGGGGAGGGGGGGGAGGATCAGATGGAAGACTGTCCAGGCTCTGCTGCAGTCTGAAGCTTCGGGGCAGTACCCTCTGGCCTGCCACCTCCTGGACATGACGAGAAGCACCACACCGAGGTCAAGGTTGTACAAAGGCCAAAATGGCAAACCACCACAAGCTGCCTAGACCAGAAATGAAGCCCCTAGGCTGCTGGGCCTTGAAGAATTATATGCAGACAGGAGAAACTGACATAGGAGCCGGGGAGGGGGTTCAGACTGGGACTCAGAGGTAGGGTGCTACCCTAGTGCGAGCGGCAACACCCTGGTTTGCACCCCAACACGCATGTCTTCACACAGCCACCGAAGCAGTTTGGTCAGTGTAGATTCCTAAAGCTTCAGCCCAGGTGTCCCCTGCCAAGGGCTGACATGGACCCAGGGACTTGCACTTTAAGCAGGCCATCCAGATGCAGGGGACACAGAGCACTCCTGGCCCAGACCCATCTCGGGACACAGATTCTCCACAAGAGCATGGTTCCCTCCTCTGCACCTGCCCTGCTGTGGCCACAACAAATGGGGCACATTTTCCACCCAGCATGTGGCCTGGATAGGAATTAGCATGGAAGGATGAGAGTAGACGCTGCATTTATTTGTTGTCTGTTTGAGGCAGGGTCTCATGTAGCCCAGGCTGGCCTCAAAATTCATCTATAGCCAAGGATAGCCTTGAACTTCTAATACTCCCACCTCTACCTACTGAGTGCTGGAATAACTATGGAGTGCCACAGTGTTCAGGGTATGCAGTGCTGGGGATCCAACCCAGGGCTGTGTGTACGCTAAGCATTCACCACAGTTAAGCCATGGGCCCAGCAGTAAGAGCAGGGAGAAAACACAGACCAGACGTCACTGAAAACAAAGTCAGGCCATTACCAGTAGTCTGCTAAAGGCCCTGAGAAAGGCATTAGTATAGCACAGAGGGTAGCAAATAGCCTGGTAACCTTGAACCCCTTAGGTATGGCATGGAGGAGGAACATTAGACCATACTGCCATACCTAAGGGGTGGGCCTCGGTTAAGCCAATAGGACTGTGTGGCAGGTCCTCTCGTTTCTCCTTTGAAAGTTCAAACTACAGACTTTTGTGGGGATCTTTTTTTCAGAGATTAAATACCGGTGATAGGTTGAGTTTTAATGGTACCAGAGCAAGGATTTGCCCCTGTGAGGAAAAGGCCCGGTCTCTGACCTGTTAGCTCAGTTTGAGCAGCATGGGCCCAGAGCTCTGAACAGTAACTGCGAACATGTGCTGTGCATGTTCTCGCTTTGAAGGCTAAGGGGGTGAGGGTGGGGCAAGGGCGTGTCTTCAGGCTGTCCTGCCTTCCTTCCTACAGGCATCCCCACCTCCACGGGCCTCTCGGCCTTACGCCAGGGTGCAGACAGGCCGCTGGGCGGCTTCCACGGCTGTATCCACGAAGTTCGTATCAACAACGAATTGCAGGACTTCAAGGCTCTCCCACCTCAGTCCCTGGGGGTCTCTCCCGGCTGCAAGTCCTGCACTGTTTGTCGGCATGGCCTCTGTCGCTCTGTGGAGAAGGACAGCGTAGTGTGTGAGTGCCACCCAGGATGGACTGGTCCTCTGTGTGATCAGGAAGCTCGTGACCCCTGCCTTGGCCACAGGTGAGTGTCCTAAGGGTACTAGACTCTCAGCTTACAAGTTGCCCTGCTCACATCTAAGGAACAGATACTGATGGATGCTGGGGGGATTGTGGTCCTACTGTGGATAGCACAACTGCCTAAAATGCCAAGAAGCGAGGCTCCTACATCCAAGCAGTAGGCCTGGCTTGAAAGCATTAGCATGAGGGGAGCTTTCACAAAAGATCTGTCTCCTCCAGGCAGCCCTCAGGATCTGTGAAAGCCACTGCCGGACTCTGCACTGCCCCCATGTCATTAGAAAAACCTCTCTTAAGGGAAATAGAGCCCTAAACACAGGACATCAAATAGAAGACAGATTAATTCCAGCTCCTGTGTCTGCATAACAGTGCACATCTGAATCGCTTGTAATGGTTCAGTCACTCATGATTCATTCAACACGTGTTTACCAAGGGCCTACTATGTGCAGGGCCTTGTACTCGATGCAAGAGACGCAGTGTTCCTAGAAACTACAGTTAGCAAAATAGAAGACTAGACTCAAGAGTGGTAATTTGCCTGGCTGAACAAGCCGGAAATAATAGTCTTGATCAAGAAGGAAGGAGCACTGTAGAGGCCTAAACTTCCTGTTATTCTTGATATATGTGCCTGGTCCTGGAATTAACATGAAGCACTGGCTGTTCTTCCAAAGGACTCAGGTTTGACTTCCAGAACTCACATAACAGCTCACAACCATCTGTAACTCCAGTTCCAGGGGATCCAACACCATTTTCTGGCCTTTGTTGGTTCTAGGCACACACGGTGCACATATATGCATGCAGGCAAAATACCCACAGAGATAAAAATACATAAATCCTTTTACATGTTTTTTGAAAAAAAAAGATGGTGGGAGGGCACAGAAGGAGGGGAGGGAAACGGAGAGGGACTTGGAATTGACATGTGAAGCAACCTTGTTTCTAATTTAAATTTAAAAATAAAAAATATAGAAAAAGAGAGATGCCTTAATGGTTAAGAGTGCTTGCTGCTCTTGCAGAGGACCTGGGTTCAGTCCCCAGCACCCACATGGTGACTCACAACCATCTGTAACTACAGTCCCAGAAGATCAGTGCCCTCTTCTCCTGTCCACAGACACCAGGAACATACGTGATACACATATATATGTGCAGGCAAAACCATCATATACATAAAATACATAACCCTGAAAATTTTCATTATGAAATGCAGAGTTTGCCATCCATCTTTCACCCTGGGAGGTGGACAGAAGGCAGTTCATGGGAGGGGCTGCCATGGAGAGAGCAGTGGTGCACTTAACACGGTGCCTGGTACGCAGCATGCGCCACCTGCTGAGAACAGGCTAAGTGTCTCTTGTCGAAAATGCCTGAACTAGAAGTGGTTCACATTTGGGGTGTCTTATCACGCTTTGGATTATATACACTGGGGATGAGAACCAAGCTTATACACAAAGTTCATTTTTATTTCATAGGTCCCTCACACACATGGTCAGATAATTCTGTATGATTCTTTCGGTGCATCTGTGTTTTATTATCAGCAGCCATCATTGGAGGTCAGGTTAGGATTTTTTTCACCTGGAACCCATGCTGACATTTAAAATGTTCTGAATTTGAAAGCGTTTGGAGCAAGGGTTGTTCAACCTGTAGTGGTAGTAATAGTAGTAACCATGTTTGCTCTTTAAATTAAAGGAGGATTAAAATATTTAGAGACCAGTGAAATGGCTCAGTGCATAGAGGAGCTTGCTGCTAAGCCTAACGACCTGAGTTCAATCCCCAGGGCCCACATGGTAGAAGGAGAGAGCCTCCTGTCCCCTGACCTCTACATGTGCACCCACACACCCACATGTGTGCTGGTGTTTGCATGCATGCACATAGTTAATAAAATGAAATATGTAACATATTGTTGCCATACGTGGTGTGGCATGCCTTTAATCCTTTGGGAGGCAAAAACCAGGCAGATCTCTGAGTTTGAGGACAACCCAGTCTACACAATGATGCCCTGTTTTAAAGAAACAAACAAAAAATAATAATTATTTTTAGCATTGACAGAAAACTTAAAGTCTGTTGGGCTATGAAGACTCTGTAGGGATTTTTGATGGGGCACACGGGCTTCCGACTACACGGGGTTCACATGAAAAGAGGTGCTTGGATGCTGACTGAAGGAGGGCTGTACCCAACACAAGGTCCCACAGCTCTGGTCCTCTGGCTGGAAGGACAGAGGAAGATGCTACAACACTAACTCTGGTCTCCTCTGCCCCCTAGCTGCGGCCATGGGAAGTGTGTAGCGACTGGCAGCACATACACGTGCAAGTGTGCAGAGGGCTACGGGGGAGCCCTGTGTGACCACAAGAACGACTCTGCCAATGCCTGCTCAGCCTTCAAGTGCCACCATGGACAATGCCACATCTCAGATCACGGGGAGCCCTACTGCCTATGCCAGCCTGGCTTCAGCGGCAATCACTGTGAGCAAGGTGAGTCGACTGTTCTTGTGGGATGGAGGGCCTATGAAAGAAACGGGTCAGAGTAGCTGATTTTCCCCAGAGCAAACCATATATCGAGGAAGAAGTCATGCGTGGTGTCTTAGACGATGCAGTCAGAGAAGTAACTTGTACTGCCCATTTCCAGGTCAGTTACATCACTAAGGTGCATTCACTGAAGGCTGCTACATAGAAGACGTAGCAGGTGATGGGGTCGTTATGGACACTGGCTGACTGTCATGCTACCTTGCAGGGTTTCTCAGAAGAATATATGCCACGTAGAGTATGTGGTACCTGGGAATGTGCTAAGAGTTGGGGAGCTGAAATGTATGACCTAACTTCGTGGAAAATCTGTTAGGATTCTTAAAGACCTATTTTTATTATTTTCGTGTGTGTGTGTGTGTGTGTGTATGTGTGTGTGTGTGTGTGTGTGTGTGTGTGTGTCATGTGAGTGCACTGCCCATGGATGACAGAAGAGGGCAGCAGATCCCCTGGAACTGGAGACTGGAGTTACAGGTGGTTGTGAGCTACCTAGGTGCTGGGAAGTGAACTTGAGTCCTCAGATCCTCTAGAAGAGCAGGAATCACTCTGAACTGCCAAACCATCTTTACAGCCTCAAGTTAGGACTCTTAAAAGCCAGAAGCAACACTGTTGTCATGAAAAGAAAATTCTGTGTGTCCTTGAACAGGACACTTCTCTCTTACTGTAAACACTAAGTAATATTGTGGTGGATGAGGATTCAACATTAAGATTCTTAAGTGATATCCTTGAAGCAGCTAACAAACCAACTAGAGTGTCCAGCATATGCAAAATGACCCAACAAGAATACCAGCAACACTTTTACTATACTGTCTAATGGAGAATGCTTGAGTACAGCAAGGGAATGGGGCGGCCTGTGGACTACAGAACCCCAAGATGGCAGCATATGGGGGAAGGGGATCACCCTTGTGCTACCCTGTCTCCTTGACTGGCACTGACTCAGAACTAAAAGAGAGTTTCTCTTTACAGACAGAGGTAGGCAGTAGGCTCTTGGCGTACCACAGAAACCTGAACTGCACACCTGTAATGTTTGCTGCTGGACAGTCCTGCATCCTCTCAGGCTCTGAGCCCAGTTGAGGAACTGCCTGCAGTTTATAGAGCTGTATTGCTTCCAAAAAGGAGCCCATAATCTGACCCTTCACCCTGCCATGACCCAAGCTTCTAGAGCAATCCCCCAGAGCAGCAGCAGCACCTGCTGTGTGTTCACTCCAGAGGCAGGAGATGCCTCACCTTCCCGTCCCGAGGCCTCACCAGGACTCCACCATACTCACTGGATGGCTGCCACACCACACCCCACTCCACCATACTCACCACACCACACCAGCCACTAGAGCCATGACCCTGCAGACTAGCCGCAGCCCATACCACACCATGCCCAGCAGGGACCAACAGGAAGCTGAGTGTGATCAGCAGTTGGATCTTTAAAAGATGAACAACATTGACAAACCTTTAGGTAGGCTACGAAAGGCAGAGAGGAGATGCCAAATCAGAGATGACAAGAGACGTTACAAGAAACTGAATTAGTAATAAGCCTTCCGTCATCAGGACTGGAGTGGTGGCTGAGCAGGGAAGAGCACTTCCTGCTCCTTGAGAGGACCCCAGTTTGATTCCTCACACCCACACACCTGAGGCTCACAACTACCTGTAACTCCAGCTACAGGGAATCGGACTCCACTTATGGCCTCTGCGGGCAAGCACACCCATAGTGTATACATATATTCATAAACAGGAGGTTTTTCTCCTTTAAAAATCTTCCATCATTAAGTGAAAGGGTGCCCACCTCAGTCCTGTAAGTCCTAAACTTGAGAGGAAGGGGACCAGAAATCCAAGCTCATCCAGAGACCAGCCCAAGCAGCATGAGACCATGCTGGGTGCAGAGTGAGGAAGAGACACAGAGACAGAAACAGAGAGACAGAGAAAGGGGAAGGGAAAGGGAAAAGAGAAGGGGTGGAGGAGGGAGGGGAAGGAAGGGAAAAAGTCTTCAACCAAAATTCCAGGACCCTGTGAGCTCGCTGGAGCTCACTATTGCTTTCCACAGAACCTCGTGAGCTCACTGATGCTTTCCACCATGCATTTAAAGAAACATGATATAATTCTTCCCACCCAGTTCAGAAAATTGAAGAGCACAACAAACCTTCAACTCATTCTCCAAATCTAGCATTGCCCTCAAACCCAGACAGACGAATATATGTGAGAGAGAGGAGGGAGAGGGAAATGAGGGATGGGGAAAAACAAAAACAGGACAACTAGGAAGTAGAGGCTGGAGGTGAAGAGCAGGGTCAGAGGTCAACATCCCAGCACACATGGGGGTCCTTTTTGGAGGACCCTGTGGTTTCTAGGACTTCCAGAAACATCCTGTAGGGCCTTTTCCTCATTACCATCTTTTTCAGATCTCATCTGTGTGGTCACTTCCCTGCCCCTGGACCAGGCCAACTTACTTTCGTGTGCTCTTGTAGAAACAGGTCCCTTAATAGCTTCGTCCACATTGGTTTCTCATGACAAGTACATCCACCTCGGTGTTGGCTCTAGACCAAGAGACACAGGCTACTGGGAGTGATGGGGCAGATTTGGGACCAGCTGGAGCTCTGCTGCCCTATCCAAAGCTCTCAGAACTCTGCCCATCATGGCAACATGGGGAAGTGGGCTGGCCTCCGCAGACCTCCAGTTTCAAAGAAACCATCCATCCAAATTCTTAAGTGAATTCAGATGTTTTCAATCTTTGTATTTAGGCACCTGTCTCATAATAAGATTTAGCCACTATTTACCAGTTGCCAGTTCCTTGGAGGATGGAGGGGACCAAGCCCAGTCCTACCACTAGAATATCCTCGGGGCACAATTATCCTTGTGTAGAGCCTGGCACAGTAAAAGCACATCACATTTATGGAAAGGGGGGGGAGAGAGGGAGGGAGGGAGGGAGACAGGGAAGGAGGGATGTAAAGAGAAACCTTTTCTTTGAGAGAAGCCTTCCCGACAGCCTGGTTCTAGAGCCGCATCAGTCCCAAATAAACACACAGGAGGCTATATTAATTATGAAGCTGTTGGCCTTGCTTGTTTCTTACTGGCTAGCTCTGACTTAAGTAATTACCCCATAATTGTTAATCTAAGTATTTCTCTTACCGGAGAACTTTCTGGGCTTCCTACCCCATGGCGTTACATCTTGACTCCTGTGTTTCTCCTACCCAGAGTCCTCCTCGACTCCTAGTCCCACCTATCTTACTTCGCTATTGGCCAACAGTGCTTTATTGACAAATACACAGGACTTCCTCCAACAGAGGGAGAGAGGGAGGGAAGGAAGGAAGGAAGGGTGAGTGGGTAGATGTGTAAGGAGACAGATGATGAACTAGAGAGTAACTGTGTGCATCTTCAGATCTCAAGTGTCCCCTGGTAGCCAACCAGGGAAGCACCCAAAGGTCATGCCTGACCCCTTTACCACCAGTGCCCTAACATGACCTTTCTGTCATCTTCAGAGAATCCATGTTTGGGGGAGATAGTCCGTGAAGCCATCCGCCGCCAGAAAGATTATGCCTCCTGTGCCACAGCCTCCAAGGTGCCCATCATGGTATGCCGTGGGGGCTGCGGCAGCCAGTGCTGCCAGCCCATCCGCAGCAAGCGGCGGAAATACGTCTTCCAGTGCACGGATGGCTCCTCGTTCGTGGAAGAGGTGGAGAGACACTTGGAATGTGGCTGCCGTGCGTGTTCATGAGCCCCTCTGCCACCTACCCACCCACTGCCTCTCAGGCTCCAGCTCACTGGGCTGGGGACAGCCACACGGAACCTCTTTGAGATTCAGAATGAAGGAGAGAAAGCTGGAGAGGAAGAGGCAAAAGAGAGAATATTAAGTATATTGTAAAATAAACAAAAAATAGAACTTATTTTTATTATGGAAAGTGACTATTTTCATCTTTTATTATATAAATATATCACATGGTCTGAGTATATGTACTATATAGTGTGTTATTTTTACCGAGTTTTGTTTTGTGTTGTGTATTTGTTGTGTTTTTATAAACAGCTGTTTAAAATTTTAAGACAAAATAAGACTAATAAAAATGTTTTAAACAAAAGGATAAGAATAGAGAAACGATAGCCTGTCTGAGGCAGGAAGAGGGAATTTTATGTGTATGTAGCTCTCTCAAGTCAGCAAAACCAAGAGCTATTTCCTGAGCTGGGGGGAATGGGGGGAGGAAGAGAGAAGGGAAGGTGGTTTTTGTTTCTCTGTGGTCTTCACTCCTCTTTTTCCTTCTTCCTTGCAAGGCTTCTCACAGTTCTGGCTTTCTAGGCCCAATGTGCAAACTTGCTTCCCAAAAGCAGCTGGGCCTGAAAGCCTTGTTGCGGTTCAGAAGACTTGCTGCCCCTTGCCTATCTGTCCCCTGATAGAGAGCCCTGGCCTTGTTGGCCACTCCTGGTCTCTTGAGGGAGTTGACTCTGACTTTGCTGAGCAGCTGAGTCTGCTCTGCCAGATATGCAAGCAGCTGTTCTTTTCCAGCCACTCCCCAGGAAACATGTCCTCTGAGGCAGGGAAAGAGGGAACCATGAAGTCTCCCCAGACCCCAGGCACTGGCCCTGCCTTAAGTCTTCCTTCCAGCCAGTTTTATTGGAGTACAATACCAGAGAGCGGGCACTAAGACTGTCCAAGAACAAGACAGGGAGTGACATCTGGCATCTGGCCCCCTAAGCTACCTTCTCATTGCCTAGGAACACCACCATCCAGCACATGTCTGAACCCCACTTAATCCAACCCCTGTCTCTCTGGTGCAGTGAACCCTATTTCTTAACTAAAGACACACGGGCCCCTCTCAGACTCCGTCACTTGCTTCGTGTCACCGTTTGATAAGTAGAGGAGCCTGGCCTGGAGCATAGACTCGGAACTCTAGATTCCCCTCCAGGATGAGAATGCAGGTGTTTTTCCAGGCTGCCTCTTCTCTTTGGTTTGTTCAGTTTTCCCTTCTGCTTCTTCTGTATCTAGGGAATTTCTAGAGACATGGACTGGGGCATTCAGGAAATAGCAAGCACTATTGTGTAGCTTTAGACTGTTCCTGGAGGCCTTCTCTGATCTCCCACGCCTTTCCCCCACCCTCCCCCCCACAGTACACGTGGCCAGCGTCTCAGCTGCTCACACCAACGCCCTGGCTCTGCTCACCTATCCCCCTTTCTCAAGAACCTCCACTATTGGAGTCTAAAGGAGAGTGTGGGACCTTCCTGCTCCGAGGGTCCCCTAAGGAGCTCAGCTACTCTGTGAGGACCAATGGAGGGCCAGAAACTCAAAGAGTAAAGAAGGGAGAGAGAAAAGAGAGGAAGGTAGAGGGACAAGTGGAAGGCAGGGAAGGATGGAGGCATGTGATAGAGAAATCACTTTTGAACAAGCATGTGAGTGTGCATTGTGTCCCAGGGATTGTACCTTATGGTGGGTTTGTTAAAAATGTTCATAGTTAGACTTAGGTAGTGTTCACTGCAATATTCTCAGATGTCACTGCAGTTGCAACCCATATATTTATTTATTTATATGCATATATCCATTTAGTTCTCAAAACAACTCTGTGCAAAACTATTACTAACCTACTTTACAGCTGAGTAATCTGAGATGGAGTAACTAAGGATCTTACCTAAAAGTAGATTGCTGATAAGTTATAGGAGCAAAGGTTTGAGCCCAGAATCCAGAAGTTAATCACTTAACCACTATACCACACTACTTCTTGTAGGAAAGAAACACACTGTGCCTTTAAGGATCCAACGGTCTGGGACACACACACATCTTAATGACAGTATAGTGAGGGCAATCCAGAGGAGGGCATTTCCAATCCTGAGTGTATCAGTCAGGTAAAGAGTTGATCAGTACAGGAAAAAATAGTAAACAGTACTAAAAAGTAGTAAAATGGGGACAGTCTTGGAATGTTTGGTGAGCAGCCAGAGGCCCATGGTGGTAGCAATGTGGAATGACCCCTGTAGGGCCGCAAGAGATGGGGAATGTGAAGTCAGGGTCCCACAAAAAAAAAAAGCCACATGGCTAGGCCACAGAGAGCCAGAGACTTGGTGTGATCAGGGCAAGATGGTCTGACTGTGACATAGAATGAGGAGACAGACGTGTCTAGATGAGAAAGCAGGCTTTATTACTCCAAATGGCCTCAGGGCTTCTAGTAGTCCACTTTGTGGCTGGCACACGCCAATCTCAAGGAGAATCTCAAAGTCTCTGCAATAGCTCAGGAATTCAGTTCTAGAGGTGTGCTAGGATGTGCCCAATGTTCCCTCCTGTCCCTCCAGGCCACCCATCCCCAACAAATGGGCCTGACCTTTATTCCATCACCAACCCCCCTAACTCGGGGAGGAGACACTGGGCTGTAAGCTTTCTCTCGGTGGCCACAAGGACCCCGCTGCTTCCTTCTTGCATTCACTGTGTTCCTTTCTGAACCCAGCTGCAGTCTGCCAGGTCAGAAAGACCAGGTTCTGTTTCCAAGTATGCCTTCAGAGCCTTCTCAGCTTTGAAAGACCTGACCTTACAAGATGCCAACACAAAGACCATCAAGAAAACCATCCCCAGAAGGAAGTTCCTCTAAAACTGAAATTTAGAAACTTTTTTCTTGAGAGTAGCCAGGTGCTAGGACCAGAAAAATTCCATGTACGGGAAGAGGTCAGGCAATTTGCACTCTGAAAAGTATGGTTTAATGTTTGTATGGGGGTATACACTTGTAGAAGAGTCCACCTGCTCTGTTACCCCCTGAGCAGGGTCAGGAGATAGAAGACCCCTTTTGGGTTCACTAGATAGGGGGGACCTCCAGATGGTTGATGAAATGCTACTTCTAAAAGCTCTGTGAAGTATACAGCGAAGCCCTGAAATAAGATGTTGTCAATACTGTTGTCATTGATGTTACTGACATGCCAAACAGCCATTTTTAAAAGAAAACTGTCTCTTCCATCTCATTGCAAGGAGTTGGATGCTTCAGAAAATGAAATGGGGGTCAGCAAAATAGAGGGGAGACACTCCCAGGGGATCCTCAGGTACCCAGGAATGACTAGACTGGGATTGAGCCAGCCTTGCATTCCCCAGACGTACTTCAAGCAGGAACCCTCAGCAGCAGATGAGATGCCCTTCAAAGAGTCACAGGATCCCAGGTAGCAGGATTGGGGGGACCCTTGGGGTCACTGTGCATCAGCAAACAACGATTGGAGATGTGAAATGGTAACTCCCACAAATCAAAGTTATGTGCTGATTCATACCTGAACACAGCGAGGGCTCCAAGAGGTCCCTGCAGTCAGTGACTCTCACTATACCACAGTGGGCATCCAGACAGAGCAAAGCCTGAGACTGAACATAATAGAAGTATGTCCTCCACCTTCCCACAGCCACCTCCCCAGGTACTCATAGATGGCCCAGAAACTGGGATGAGTGTCATCTTTAGAGTCCCTCACCCATATTGTCAACTGGGAATGTAAACAGCACCATAGAAAACACTGGGACAAAACTAATCAGACAAGGCAGAGTTAGCATTTGGCAAAGCTTCTTTCTCTAAGTCAATGGATTTCTAATAAGAAAAATGTTTTGTTGGTTTTTTTTTATTTAACAGTGTTACAATGCCACTTCCTCAGTATGAAACAAATAATGTGCATTTCTTGCTTCAACATTCTGCCATCTTCTAACGTCATTTAAATAAACAGATGTGTCACAGGGGAGTCCATGGTGCTCCTGTGAATGCATAACTCAGCCTTATTCGGTAGTGTGTGCTTTATTTTTGCCCCTGAATTTTATACTCTATTGGGCAGAGTACTACATTCATGGAGTTTGGGTAAATCTGTGTGGAATTAGTTGGAAGAAACTAATTTCTTAGACCATTAAGTAAGAAAAACATCTAGAATTCCCATGTACATTCCCTAAGGCCTACATATATGGCTTAGGTTCCAAGGTTAATAGGAGATGTGGCTTGAATAAGGTTCAGCCACAAACTGGATGCCAAGGGTTATAGCGAAGTAATCCTCTCACATTCAGAATAGAGAATACAGATAAATGGAAGGTGACCCTCCGGGGCCCATTTCTTCCCTTCTTCTACTTGTTCTTTTTGTCTGTCTGCTTTGTTGTCTTGTTTGTTTGTTTTCAGGCAGGATTTCTCTGTGTAGCCCTGCCTGTCATGGAACTCACTCAGGAACTAGACCAGGCTGGCCTTGAACTCACAGATCTACCTCCTCTGCCTCCCAAGTGCTGGTATTAAAGGCATGCTCCACCACCACCCAGCTCTTCTACTGATTCTTTCACCAAGCATTTACTGAACATCCATTATATGCCAGGTGCCATTGTAACCAATGAAGACAATGGAGACCAAGTACTACTTTGGAGTGTGTTAATTGACAGGGTGAATCGTGTGCCAATCAACACCTGGAGATATTGATAACAGATATCCATAATCGCTTAAGAAAACAAAGTGAAGGAAATGCAACAGAATGGCAGGCGGGTGCTTTACCCAGAGAGAGCAATGTAGGTCTCCATGAAAAACTGAAAAAGTAGGATACCAAGAAATTAAAAGATAAGGCGACTGACAGTGCCACAGCCATCTCTTTTCATGTGAGTATTTTCATGGGCAGTGATGATCCAAGCATTTTATAGGCCAGAGAAGATGATAGCACACACTTGAGACTCACCGAATGAGGACTTCTGTGTATATGGAGGCTGCCAGAGGCTAACTTATAAATCCTTGGCAAAAGACCCTATACTGCCCTTGCTGAGATGCCATAGTGCTAAGATAAAATAAAATAAAATAAAAAACCTGCTTAGGCTCATCAGAGCCATCTCTGAGTACCTAGATATAACATTAACAAAGAAGGTGTTGGAATACATAATAAGCATTCAAGAGACTTCCTGGGAATGCCTTAATGGGAACGCATGGCAGCTGGTATTCTATACTTGGGTTTGGAGCACCATTATCAATGGGAAGCTAGGACGAGGGCATTCTGGTGACAGGAAAACACTACCATCCTTGTCATCCTTTGTCCCTACTGTATAACCAGTCCAAATAGACACAGAACATGGAAGACTAGGTGACAGTCAACTTCAGACTTGTTTTCCTTAATGCTCCCCAATTTCTGGCTCCCAGAATGGCATTATTGGAAGGGACTGTCTTTATTACTTTCTCGTTGATGTGGCATTTCAATTTTGGTGGGTTTAAAGGGTCATAGCTCAGAGAAAGACACAGCAACAGGAGTAGCTGATGACAATGGCAGTGGGAGTATGAGGCTACTTGCTCACATCTGGGCAGATCAAGAAGCAAAAAAAAAATGTGGTACTCAATAGGCTCTCTTCCTTCTATTCTTTTATTTAATTGGGGCTTGTAGGCCATGGGATGCTGTCTCATACCTTATAAAGAGTCTTCACTCAGTTAAATACCTCTAGAGATACTCTCACACACACAGGCCCAAAGGTGTGTTTTTTAGCTGATTCTTATGACAATGAAGATCGACCAAGAACATACATGAGTGAAGGAAGGGTCTCTTCAACAAACTGCTGGGAAACTGCACATGCATAAGTACCCATTTCTTACCTGCTATCAAAGTGAACCAAAAAAGGATCATTGAGCTCAGTGTAAGACATGAACTATTAAACTACAGAGCATAGAGAAAATGCTTCAGGACATGGATATAGTCAAAGATGAGTCTGAAACAGAGTAAAGAGTGACCCAGAGCTGTGGAAAATGTGTGTGTGTTAAGAGGTTGACAGCTATAATATACAAGGAAAATAAAGGGGGCCAATAAAAAGCCAGAACCCTACTTAACAATGGGCAAAAGACCTGAATGGACTTTTCTAAAAAGACATACAAGCGATCAAAGGATATTGTGAGAGAATGCTCCAGAATGCTGGGAGTAATGTAATTCAAAACCACAATGAGATATCACTTACTTCAGCAAGAATGGTTATCAAAAACACAACCGATAGCAAGTGCTGGCAAGTATGTAGGGAAGAGGGAACCCCTGCCCACACTATTGGGGAGGAGGTGAATTAGTACTGCTCTTGTGAGAAACAGTTTGGTGTTCCTCAAAAAAAGTCGAAATGATACTACTGTTTGATATAGCATCTTTCATTTTGTTTTATTTTTGAGACAGAGTTTCTTTGTGCAACCCTGGCTCTTAGAACTCAATCTGTAGGCCAGACTGGCTAGAATTCAAAGACTCACCTGACTCTGTCTCCTAAAAAGCATGGGCCAGCAACACCCAGATGATCCGACATTCTTACTACTATTTATTTACATGCTGAAAAGCTACCTGCTTGTCTATATTTATTGCTGCACTGTTCACAACAGCCAAGAGTCAAACCTAAGTGTTTATCAACAGATAAAATTACTTTAAACACATGATACATGTCTATAAAAATGGAATACTATTGGTTGGTTCATAAAAAAGGGTGGAATTTGGGGTGGGAGAGATAGCTTGATTGTGAAAAACACTTGTTGCTTTTGTAGAGGACCAGGAATCAATCCCTAACACCCGCATTAAACAGTGCATCACTGTTACTCCAGGCCTAGGGGATCCAATGCCCTCTACTGGCCTTTGCAGCACTGCACTTTGGTGCACATTCTTTTTTTTCTTTTTGTAATGTTTTATTTAAATTAGAGACATGAATGTTTCACATGTCAATCCCAGCTCCCTCTCCCACCCCTCCTCCCTTGTCCCTTCACCAGCCCCCGAGCCCCCCACCCAATCCCCACATCATTCCCCAGGGAGGGTGAGGCCCTCCTTGGGGGGGATCTCTAAAGTCTGTTATTTCATCCAGGGCAGGACCTAGGACCTTCACCATGTGTCCAGGCTGAGAGAGCATCCCTCTATTTGGAATGGGCTCCCAAAGATCATTCATACACCATGGTAAACACTGATTTACTACCCAAGGCCCTAGAGATTTCTGTGGCCTCCTCACTGAGAAAGTGCACAGACATTCTTGAAGGTAAAATGCCCATGCTCTTATATTTTTGGTTGTGACCCTAGCCTTTAACCACTGAGCTATCCCTCCAGCCCGCCCATGCTCAAAAATAAAACAAAACGAAAAATAGAAAGGTAGAATTCTGACATCTGCAGCATGCTACACCTGGCATTGTGGTAAGTGACATAAGCTGCAGTAAGAATTTGGAATCTAGTTGAAAAAGTCTCTTAACCCCAGGCGCACGCCTTTGATCCCAGCACACAGGAGGCAGAAGCAGACAGATATCTGAGTTAAAGGCCAGTCTGATTTACTGAGCAAGTTCCATAACAGCCAGGGCTACACTCAGAAACCCTGTCTCTAATCAATGTGTGTGTGTGTGTGTGTGTGTGTGTGTGTGTGTGTGTGCTTGTGAGAGAGAGAGAGAGAGAAGATGAAGAACCATGGTTACTTGATGTAGAATAGTATTTTAACTAGGCAAAGATGTGTCACATTTGTTTATGCTGCAAAATGTTACTTTAACTGTGTAAAGGTGTGTTGTTTTTATTTATGCTGCTTTTGTTTAATTATGAAAGGATGTGTGTTTAATTATGTAAAGATGTATTGCGTTTTTTTCACCTTGCCTGCCTAAGGCGCCTGATGGATCCAATAAAAAAAAAAGGCTAACCAGCCAATAGCAGGAGAGGGATAGGCAGGATTGTAGATGGGTGTGGGAACTGACAACCAGTATAACTGGGAGCTACTTCCATCATTTCCCAGTAGTTCTGCCGACTTTTGTGTTAGTTACTGTCGCTATGATGAAACATCATGACCAAAAGCAAGTTGTGGAGGAAAGGGCTGCCTCCACCCTCCCCGCCTCAGTGATGACCTCTCGGTTTTCCTCACCTCCGGTTGTAGGAAGCCATGTTTTAGGCTGCATATAAGTTTAAGATTTGCTTTTGATTGGCTAGATGTTATTTCTCTTCTCTCCCTGCAGTCTTGTACTCATTGGTCAACCTCTTCCCACCCTCTTTCCTCATGTTCCTCCCAAGCCTCTAGTAACTATTCCAAGCCTTTTCATTTGGGTCATCCACCAGCTCCCAAATCATGACATAGTGCTGAATGCTCGGCCTGGCTTAGGAACGTTTCTGGTGAGTTCTTTTAAATTGAATTCTCTTTACCTTTTGCCTCGGGCCTTTTTACCTTTCTTCTGTATCTCTTTCACGACTTCTCTATGTTTGGATGGCGTCTCCTTCGTTCTTTCCTTCTCTCCTTCTTTCTTCCACCTGAGCCTAGCTGCTTTCTTCTTCTATTTATTCTCTCTGCCTGGAAGCCCTGCCAATCCCTCTCCTGCCTAGCTATTGGCTGTTCCGCCTTTTTTTTTTTTTAAATTGGATCCATCAGGCGCCTTAGGCAGGCAAGGTAAAACAAATGCAACACAAATTTCATAATTAAACAAATGCAGCATAAATAAAAACAACACTTTTACACAGTTAAAGTAACATTTTGCAGCATAAACAAATGTAACACATCTTTGCCTAGTTAAAATACTATTCTACATCAAGTAACCATGGTTCTTCATCTTCTCTCTCTCTCTCTCTCTCACAAGCACACACACACACACACACACACACACACACACACACACACATTGATTAGAGACAGGGTTTCTGAGTGTAGCCCTGGCTGTTATGGAACTTGCTCAGTAAATCAGACTGGCCTTTAACTCAGATATCTGTCTGCTTCTGCCTCCTGTGTGCTGGGATCAAAGGCGTGCGCCTGGGGTTAAGAGACTTTTTCAACTAGATTCCAAATTCTTACTGCAGCTTATGTCACTTACCACAATGCCAGGTGTAGCATGCTGCAGATGTCAGAATTCTATCTTTCTATTTTTCGTTTTGTTTTATTTTTGAGCATGGGCGGGCTGGAGGGATAGCTCAGTGGTTAAAGGCTAGGCTCACAAAGTTCTGGGATCTTATCCAATGTGGCCACTTTCTAGGGTTCAATGAGTAGAAAGTCACAGGGCTGGGATTCATGCCTTGGTGTGACTTTAAAAAGAACACACCACACTGTCCCACCTTTACGTATGAGAACAATAAGTCATCTGGATTTCCCATGGGTAGAGGAGGGCATGCAGGACCTCCTTAAAGACAGGAGAAGATGCAAGTCCACAGAAGCCATGACCAGTGACTGAGTCTCACAAGCAGGTCTCAGCCCACGCCACCAGGTACAATGGGTGAGACTGGCTCTTCCCCTGCTATCTTCAGCTCTTGCCCATAGGGCTCATCAACCAGATTCATCTTGGAGAAGAAGCGACTGTGGCCTGGTTGCAAATGACCCAACCCTGGTATTTAAAAACCTCAGGGACACAAATAATCAACCTCCTAATCAATGCAACTGCCAGGTACCTGGCCAGTAACTGCAGGGTCTTCATTCCTACATTGAATTAATTTCCACCTGGATGCTTTCTGAGTGTTCCTGTTCTTTTCCTCACCTGTTCTGCAGAGTTTGGAAATGCCCTGGGCACTATTTGGATGATTGCAAAACTACAAGAGCAAGAGATAAGACCAACGGTTTACAAAATAGATCACAGGAAACCAGACACAGGGGGCCACCCTTTCCATGACTTCAATTATACGTAATGTACTGAAAAGGCAAGTTTACAGAAACAAAGCACTGAAAATACTTTGGAATAAGACAGGTCATGGCCACACAAGCTTGTGAACACCACAAATTGTATGTAAGACGCTGTACTTCTCCATAAACTTACTTGGCATAAGTCATCAGCTTATGTAAGACCACCCTTTCCAAGCTTTTGCTTTTGTCTTCTTTATTCCTTATCCTTAGTCCTCCCATTAGATATCTCACCATTCAGAAGATATCAACTGGATGTCTGGTCACCTGGAACTCTCTGAGAGTCCAGGACAGAACAAGATCTACTCTACAATAGAGTAGTGCATCCCTTGCCCCCAAAGCCTTAGGTAGAACTTCCCTTGGCATGTCAGCTCAGGACTCAAGGCCTGAACCCCAAAGAAAAGAAAGCTCTGCCTTTTCAATACAGCTCAATCTTGGGCTTTTCTTCTCTCATACATGGAGGGTGTTTGTTTTGAGTTAGGCTCTCACTATATAGGCTTGGCTGGCCTTGAACTCAGAGAGATCAGCCCACCTCTGCCTCTCAAGTGCTGGGACTGTTGGTGTGTGCCATCACACCCAACCAGATCAGGGGTTAAGAGGGGAAGCCTTATCTACCTCAGGAGTGTAATGTAGCTCAGCAGTGAAATGTAGCTCAGCAGTGAAAAGAATGCTTCTTAAATGTAGTATTCTTTGGTGATGGGGAAGTCCTGTGTATATGTTAATAAAGCACTGTTGGCCAATAGGGAAGCAAGATAGGTGGGACTAGGAGTCTAGGAGGATTCTGGGAAATGTAGTAAGGGGAGCCATCGCCATGTGATTCCCAAGAAGAGGGGACGCAAGTCTGTGTTCTCAGAAAGGTAAGTCCTTATAAAAATATATATTAGTAATTATGGGTCAACAATTCAGAGCTAGCCAATGAGAAATGATAGCAAATGGCCAACAGCTTTATAATTAATATAGTGTCCTATCTGTTATTTGGGGGTTCAGACAGCTCGGCAGGGCCCAGGAGGCAGGTGGGGAAAAACTACACGTTACACTTCAGGATTCAAGCTTAGGTGGGAGGGTTGCCACAATTTTGAAGCTACCCTGGGCTACATAGTGAGTATCAGGCCAGACTTAGCTACTAAACAAGACCCTCTCTCCAGGAATAAAAGCTAACAGATTGGATTCTCAACCTACTGTTCAGTGGTGGAAAAAAATTTTGTGTGTGTGTGTGTGTGTGTGTGTGTGTGTGTGTGTGTGTGTGTGTGTGTGTAATGTTTTACCTTTTCAGAATTGATTAGGAATTCCTGGAGGGAGGACCAACCTGCTGCAGAACGAAGTCTACTCCTGCCATCCTTGCCCTCTACTCCTGCCTTTCCAGGGTCACAGTTCCATTTTAGACATCTCCAGTCTTCGACTCCTTGCTGTCACATGGACTTATGCCAGCTGCTGAACTAATCCCACTACTTCAGTGGACCATCTCATCTACCTGCCTCTGCCTTCAACTTGTCTTTCTGAATGTCTTCTCGCTTTCTCTAGCCCACCATTCTTTTCACCATAAACATGTAGGAATGCTTGGCAGGTCCTATGCTACACTGTTACCTTAAGAATAAGGTGGAGTCAGGACTCTTCAACAACTGGCTTGCCACTCTTAGACTCTCACTAAGTCAACTCCCCTACCCAAGGTGTGTCAGATATTAAGAACCCCTCAAGACTGAAGCACATACTGCAGCAGCGACTTTGCTTTTGCTTTCATGTCTGGTTGTAGCCCAGGAAAAGAGTCAGGATTTGTTCATTTTCCACTCCTCACCAATGAAATGGCCCAGATGTTCTCCACTCTTGCCATCTCTAAAATGGAGTTCAGAGCAGACTCCCAGTCACAGCTGAGGAAAAGAGACATTCAGGTAGAAAGGTGAACGCATTCCTAGCCAGCAGAACCTCTCCTAGCATCATCTGCAGAAGGGGATTGCAAACAGAAACTGTGACAGGCAAGTGTGTCCCTGCATCTTTAATCCTAGCCCTGGGAGGCAAAGGCAGATGGATCTCTGTGAGTTCCAGGCCAGCCATGGCTATACAGACAGACACTATCTCCAAAAAAAAAAAAAAAGTGCCACTGTATCCCAGCCTGACCCATACCCATCATATTCCCTTCACTCATAAGGGTCCCTGATCTCTATAGAAAATAAATCTCCATGAAGGAGTTAACATGGGTCAGTGATGGAGCTAATCCTTCTCACTGCAATGTGAGACACCCACATATAAGAGATCAAATCACTGGGGTTGCCCGGTTTTGAATTTTGAGCCTCTTAAACTGTAAACTGAACAGACCTCTTTTCTTTGTTAAAAGACAAGGAAGTGAACTCAAAGTAGCTGTTAAAAAAAGGACACAAGAGTGTGTGAAAATAAGAAATAGGCAAAATTTGAAAACATGCTAAGTGAAAGAAGCTCAATACAAACAGTCACATAATCCTGTTGCTATGAAATGCCCACAACAGGAACATGGCCACTGAAACAAAGTAGATTCATCATGGCCAGGGACTAAAAGGGGGAGGAACAGGGAACAACTGTCGAGCAGGTACAAAGTTTCTTTTCAGGACAATGAGAATGTTCTGGAATTGGGTACTTGTGATGGTTTTACAACACTCTAATTGTCCCACAAGTGGCTTGTATTACATGCTTTATAATAGTTTTCTATGATTACTTAAATATTGTGGAAATTTTGCCTCCACTCAAAACTCTAGCTATATGAGGGTTTGTTTCAAAGGCTCTATTTCAAACAAAACAAATAAAAAGTAAAGTAGATGAGGGGAGACAGAGGAAATGGGGGGGTAGTATGTCCACAAAAAGACAAGCACAAAAATATTTACAGGAGTTTTTTTTAAAGGCCAAACCTGAGCTGAATCCACGTGTCCATCGCGGAACTAAACAATTAAAACTGCAGTGTGGTAAAATATTACTTTAAGGTGTGGGACTTTTGTTTATGCTGCATTTGTTTAACTCTGTGAAGCTGTGGTTCTTTGCTTGTCTAAAACACCTTATGGTTTAATAAAGAGCTGAATGGTCAATAGCAAGGCAGGAGTGAGGAGCAGGGATAGGCAGGGCTGGGAGACAGAGGGTATAAACAGAAGGAGAAACAAGGAGAAGGAGGGGCAGCAGGAGAATAAGAGGAGAGAGGACATCAGGGGCCTGACACCCAGCCACCCAGCCACCCAGCCACCCATGCAGCCGCAGAGTAAGAGTGAAATTAAAATAAACAGAAGTAAAAAGATAAAGGCCCAGAGGCAACAGGTAGATGGGATAAGTTAAGTTAAAAGCTGGTTAGGAACAAGCCAAGATAAGGCTGGCCACTCATAACTAATAATAAGACTCTGTGTGAGATTTATTTGGAAGCTGGGGTAGTCAGTCCCCTCAAAAGCCAAAAGAGCAAAAACAACACACTACACTGCAGTGTGTTCACACAGTGGAGTGTAACAATGAAAAAAGGCAATAAGCAGCTGCATGCAACATCATAAGTGTCCCATAAACATGCTGTTGAGCTAAGGAAGACAAACTCAAAACCAGTACAAATTCTTGATTCCATTTCTGTGAAGTCCAAGAATGGGCAAAAATTACTGAGAGTGTAACAGGCAAAAAAATTACTTTCTTGGGAGCAAGGCATGAAGGGAAATGGTCAAGGGCAGGGGGAAACCTTTTGGTATGTCATATACGGTGTATGTTTTTAAAGCATTTTGGCATTTTATATTTATTTTCTGCTCATGAGTTCTTGTCCAAATGTATGTCTGCACTGTGTGCATGCAATACCTTCAAGGGCCAGAATAGTGCATCAGACCTATGGGACTGGAGCTACAAACAGTTGTGAGCCACTACATGGGAGTTGGAAATTGAACTCAGGGCCTCTGGAAGAGCAACCAGTACTCTTTACTGAGTCATCTCTCCAGCCCCTGATGTAATATATATCCTGATGTGTGTGGAAGTTAAATAAGAGTGTGTATATGTTAAAAATTCATCAGGCCCTACACTTAGGACTTGGGTACTTTACTGAGTATATGTTATACCTCAGTGCAAAAATAGTTAGAATTGTGTTAAGACTACCACAGGTGACATGTCAGCTACGATGCCTCCAATTCCTTAAGGTACATAACATTTGAAAGTCCAAACTATTTCACATAGCAATACGTTTATGTATTTCAGGCCAACAGCTCACTAAGTGGGTTCCATAGCCCACTAATAAGCTACAATGAACTTTTTGAAAACCATAGCTGAGAACAGTGGGGAGTCCTTTGGAGGCTTTTAGGAGAAGCATGGTGTGAACAGGTCAGTGTTTTAAAACTCTGTCTGAAGTAGATCAAAGTGTGAGCCTGGAGCCAGCTGATGGAGGGGCGGAGGAGGCCATTAGCTTTGGAGAAGGAGCTAGAAGGCAAGGTCAGAGCTAGAGCCTTAGGATGAGGGGTTTTGTCTTCCCTTTGGGACCTCTGAATTGTCCTGTTGTTCTTTATCAATCTGGTGCCTGTATGGAGTCACCCCACTGGTTCTATACACCTTGGTGTTCCCCACTGAGAGTGGCTGGAGGAAAAGAATCCCCTTCTCCTTCCACTGGCATGGTGGGAGCAGAAACCTTCCTTCCATGACTCTTCTTAACATGCACTGTTTGCCTCAGGACACTTTAAGAGACTGGGGCCCAGGGAAGAACCAATAAGGAAAGAGAAATCTGCCATGTCCGTTCCTTCCTGGTACCATGAAGTCCTTTTATTTACATATCATCTCAGTTCTACAACAGTCTTTTTATTGTTAATAATATGAAGTCAGCATATAAAGTACTGAATTGCATTACAGAATTTTCAGTAGCTATTGGAATAGTCAGGACTCCATACTTAAAACTCCACAGCTGAGGAATGAACCAGCTCTGTCTGATGAAAGTCCTAAGTGCTTTCTCAATAAGAAGTCTTGGCTCAAGATGCTGGCCTGGTTCATGCCTGTCCCCATGGGCTTGGTGAACTTGTCCAGAGAGAGACTTCCAAGAGGTGGTCTTCGTTATGGGCATACTAGGATTTCATACACTGTGTTTGGAGTTTAGTAACTTATGACTCTTCCTCCACAATGGTCATGCTCTTCTCAGCCAGTCTGGCCCATGGCACCCCAGGTCCTGGCACTGATTGAGTTGGGCAAGTAATCTCTTACTCCATTTCTCTGGCCAGAATAACAGGCATTCTGGGGTTGGGGCAGGTAGAGGAGAGAGGACTAAAACATGGGTGGGGATAGGTAAAAGAGAGAAAGCTAACATAGGATGGGGGTCGGGTGGGTAAAGGAGAGAAAGCTAACATCGTGTTTTCTTGCATGCAGCAAAAGGATGGATTCTGGTTTTGCACCCATTCTGTTAGTCTGTATCTTTTTATTGGAGAATTGTGATCATTGATGTTGAGAGACAGCAATAACCAGTGATGTTGATTCCTGCTATTTTGGTGTTTTGTTTTGTTTTTCTGTGTGTGTGAGAGAGAGAGAGAGAGAGAGAGAGAGAGAGAGAGAGAGAGAGAGAGAGAGAGAGAGAGAGAGATTCTCACTTCCATCTCTTAAAATTCTATTGGTGAAGCTTGCCTCTGTGGTTCCTGCTCAAGTTCCTAAATTTTCATTTTCAGATTTCCCTCAATTTGGGCTCATTTATTGACTTTTTTCTACCTTCAGGCCTTGAGCTGTTTTATTCATTTCCTTCTGCTGTTTGTGTTTACATAGATTTCATTAAGGGATTTATTCATATCCTCTCTAAGGACCTCTATCATATTCATAAAGGCCATTTCAAGGTCTTTCTTGTGTTTCAACTGTGTTGGAATTCTCAGGGCCTTCTGTGTAAGGGTTGCTAGACTCTAGAAGAGACATATTGTCCTGGCTGTTATTGATGGTGTTTTTATACTGGCATCTCGGCATCTGGGTCAGGGAACATTGTAATTATAGGTGCTAATAGCTGGTCTTTGTTGGGTGGACAGTTTGTTCCTCTCTTTTTCATAAGAGTCGAGGTAGCTGCTTGTTGCCTGGTAGGAAATTCATCTGGGATCCTGATAGGTGGGACCACTGGGGCATTCCAGATAAAATATGTTTCTGAGTATTGGTAGCTGACACTAACGAATGGAGATAGGTGGCCTGGAGGGTCTATTGGAGGAAGTAAAACAAGATGTCCCTCCAAGACCTCCTTAGTTCCCTGGGAACAGCGTAGAGAGTTAGGAGAAGCCACAGCAGAAGGTCTGCTACACAGCTGGGCATGAGACTGGGTGATTGGATTTGGAGGAGCAGAGGGAGGGAGAAAGATCTGCAGTTAACCTACATTAGTAGTTCTCAACCTGTGGGTCATGACTCCTTTGGGAGTAGAATGACTTTTTTACAGGAGTCACCTAAGATTATCGGAAAACATGGATTTTTACACCCCAATTCATAGAAGTAGCAAAATTACAGTTATGAGGGAATAATGAAAATAATTTTATGGTTGGGGGTCACCACAACGTAAATAACTTTATTAAAGGGTCAGAGTGTAAGGAAGGTTGAGGACCACCGGCTAACATTCTTCCCTGGTTGGAGTGGCCTGTGGGTTCCCAGGGTGTGTCTGCTGGAGTTGAGGACTGGATAGAGCAGTGAGTGGAGAAATTATATTATACCAAAGGTGACCAGTCAGACACAGTTTATAGTCAATTGAAAGTCTTTATTCCAGGAGAATGAGACTATACCTAGGTATTTGGTGACATAGGTGTAGCCCCAAGTGTCTATAACTCAGGGTTTTTGAAAGCAGAAACAACTCCTTGTCATCTCACTCAGCAACTTGGGAGCAGGAAGGCTTTGTGTAAGCAAACAATTAGACAGAGGGCTGGAGAAATGGCTCAGTGGTTAAGAACTTCTCTTTCAGAAGACCCAGGTTCAATTCCCAGCACCCACATGGCAGCTCCCAGCTGTCTATAACTCCTGTCCCAGTGGGATCTGATATCCTGACACAGACATACAGGTGAAACATCAAGGTAAATAAGACACAAATAAATAAATTATTTTTAAAAACCAACAATGAGACAGTAGCTAAGTGGCTAGCCAGAAGGGGAAATTTACACAAGCAGGCATTTTAACAAAAGCTAAGATAACCTAGCTAGGACATCCTGACCTTGGGTTCCTAGAATAAGGCTGGGTAATTTTCCATGGGATTCTCCATCAAAGCGATCAAATTTGAGTTAACTATAAAATGGCCTCAACAAGAATACAAGATGGGGGAACCTCTGCACTTTCTTGCCCTGTCACACACAGGAGAGAGATTAGTAGGAGGAGATCGGTGGCATCCATAGTGGTGGGGCTGGGGGAGGGGGGATTCAGCAGGTGTTCTGCTGCAGGGCTGGAAATGAGACTTAGGGATTGGATCTGAAGGAGAGGGGGGAGGCATGAAGATCTACAGTCAGCCTATCTGCTTCCCCGACAGGAGTCATGGACATTTTTTTAAAGAAAGAAAGAGAGAAACTAGACGTGGAGAGTTGGGTTACCATTGCTGTGATGAGACACCATGACAAAAGCAGCTTGGGGAGGAGAGAGCTTATTTCTCTTGCAGTTCTGCATCACAGTTCGTCATCAAAAGCAGTGAGAGCAGGGACCCAATCAGGGCAGGAACCCGGATGCAGAAGCCAAGTGCTACTTACTGGCTTGCTCCCCATGGCTTGCTCAACTTACTTTCTTTTAGAACCCAGGACCACCAGTCCAGGGATGGCACCACCCACAATGGGCTGGCCCACCCCCTTCATGAAATCACTAATTAAGACTGTCTACAACCAGATCTTATGAAGGCATTTCTTTCTTTCGCTTTTTGTTTAGTTGTTTTGATACAGGGTTTCTCCGTGTAGCCCTGGCGGTCCTGGATTTCACTCTGTAGACCAGGCTGGCCTCAAACTCAGAGATCCACCTGTCTCTGCCTCCCGAGTGCTGGGATTAAAGGCATGTGCCACCACAGCCCAGCTTGGAGGCATTTTCTTAATTGAAGTTCCCTTCCCTCAAATGACTGTAGCTTGTGTCTAGCTAACATAAAACTAGCCAGCACAGAGTGGGAAAGTACAATAGGTTATTATTAAAGCAAAGGGCTGACAGCATTCCAGTTCCTACTGAAAGTAGGCCTATCCTGGCTTCTCATTCTGTGAACTGAGTTTTCTGGTTTGGGATTTTATACCAACGGAAGCACATTTGTCATGAGCATGCTATGCCAGAAACATAGACAGGTTTGTATATTCTCAAATGTCCATCCTTACTGATAACAATACATTCACTAGATATATAGGCATTGTTGGCTGCAGTTTGCCAAGAAGTCCCAATGTCCCTTGACAGCTGGCCATCGAAAACACAGGTTGCAGATGCAGTTTTTAAATTCCAGTCTTAATTATTAATATTCATGTTACAGGGTGGTGACAGAGTGTTACAGAGGCTGCAGTCTGAAGAGTTTAAAAAGTCAGAGGGCTGATTCAGATGCAAAGGGAGTGACTTCTGATGGTCAGTGTTGATTAACTCAGTTCAAGAGCTGCTGGAAGAGTGCATGTCAACTTGAGACCTAGTACTGAACTGAACTGCAGATGTTCTGGACCATGAAGGTAAGATACAGAACTGGACCAAGATGGATGATGGGTAAGTGGATGGGTGACTGGCAACTTGGGTAGGCCATGCTAAGCAGTATCCAGACAGCCTAGAGTTTCCCCCCAGTTGGTTCTTTGACACATACTGGGTAGTCAGATGCCAGGTCATTGGGGTCATCACCATCATGGTGCTAGGTGTCCTCCAGGCAAGGCTCTGGTGAGCTTGATGAGTTCTCCATCCCATTCTTGCAAACATGGTTCTAATAGGCCCATGTGCTCACACATTCTATGCTGGTTAGTCTTGATTGCCAACTTGTTGGCATTTAGAATCTCCAAGGAAACAAATCTGTCTTCAAGGGATTCCCTAAGTCAGGTTAACTAAGGTAGGAAGACCCATCTAAATGTGATCAGCATGGTTCCCTGGGCTGGAGTCCTGAACTAAATAAAAGAGGAGCTAGTGAGATGACCACAAGCATTCATCAGCCTGCTTCTCGCTGCAGATGAAACATAACCAGCAGGCTCTTGCTCCTGCTGCCATGCCCTCTGTACCGTGATGGATTAAATATGTCTGAATCTACCCAGTAAGCACGTAGGTGGTACTTTTTCTTTTGGGAGTATAAGTTATCAGTCAGTGTCTCACAGACAGGGATGAACCAATGTGGTGTCTTACATGTACAATGAGTTTGAACTCAAATTGAGGCAAATGTTGCTTATAATATGGAGTCGCCATAATCAAGGTACAGCCTGAAAGCCATGTTTCATACAAGATAATTAAAAGCAGGCCATGATCCAATCTCCACACATTGCACAATTTATTCTTTTTGTATTCAGCATCTTTTGCTCAACATTATAAGGTCTGAGGTTCATATATAACAACCCATTATTTTTTTCTCCTTGGCAATATTTCTCAATCTCAATGCTATTGGCATTATAGGCTAGATGTTGTTGCCTACACAGGGTAAGTGTGAAGATTCTCTTTGACATTACCAGTGCCATCTTGTATTATGGAACTATTGTGACTGCCCAGAATCCCTGACTAGTTTTTCCCATATAGTTTCCCAGCCAAATATAAAAAGAAGAAAATGTTAGAGTGGCCTGTGTAGCTTTACAACTGGTCATTAGCTCCAAAATTGTGCTTGGGGAGGTGGGGGTAGCCGGATGGGTGTATATGCAGATGCATATGTGCCCTGACATACTTGTGGAGGTCAAAGGATAACTCTCAGAAGTTGGTTCTTTCCTGCTGCCTTGTGAGATCCAGGATTGAACTCAAGTGGTCAGGCCTGTGGACTGGCACACCTCTACCCACTGACCCATCTCACTGGCCCAGTACCTGGCCTTTTGATTAGGCTGAGGTAAACAAGGTACGCTCAAGCTTGGATAAAGTTGGTTTAGTCCTGACCACTTGACAAGACCTTGCCTTCTGACCCAGGCTTTGGAACATACATGGCCTTGTTACTATCCAGAATCACTTTTTCAGCATCTAGTCACACTTCTGTTAGTGAGTCCCCATAACTTGCACTCCACAAAACCCCCAGATTTGCTTGCCTCTCCTTTATCTCAAGGCACATTGGGGCCAATTCCCGTACATTGGGACCTGGTTGCTTAAGAACAGTGGAATGTTTTTAACTCCTGCCAACCAGATGCCAACACTCATAAGTTGGGATAGCCACAAAAACGTCTGGACATTAACAAATGTCTCCTGGGTATAAATCATCCACAAAAGGCTTTTTAAGACTGTGGACGGGGCACTGAGGCAACGCAGACTGGACAAGCTAGAACTCTGAAACAAGGTAATAGTTGAGAGGAGAGCGGAGGATAGCAGCTGTGCTTTTCTCCTGGGAGCATTTGGGAAATATGAGCTTGGCTGAGCACTGAAACTTTACCCTGGCAGATGCCAACTGTAGAAACCACTCATGTTTTCTGTGGTTGCCCTCGGCTGAAGGGACAAAATCGAGAATGCAAGGAGATTCAAAATCACCTGGTTTTCTTCAGTAAGTGTTTGCAAAATTTACAGGAGGCCCACGGAGAGCTTGTTAGAATCTGAATCCAGTGAGGATACTAGGACCATAAAACATTGATGGGGCAAGGGTTTCAGAAACACGTTAAAATTGAAACAATGTTTAACTCTGTCCATGAACGTTCACCCATCTATCTGCCTTTCAAAGGTAGTGCTTGATAAATGTGAAAGGACTAAAATTGGGGTCATGAGCAGCCTCAGTAGACAGAAGTGCGTGCTCATCTTGAAAGTCTGAGGACTGGAGTTCAGATCCTACCTCCCATGTAAATGTCAGGGATGGGGCATGGTGCATGCCTGTAAACACAGCATCCCAGAGCAATCTGTCCAGCTAGACTAGCTAAATCCTGCCTATACCTGTACATGCATATCCACAAACACACACACACCAACGTACATGTTAACACGCATATACACATATACAAAAGTGAAAAATTAACATAATATAAAGCATGTCCCCAACCACCATGGACAGGAATTGGAAATCCACAGCATACAGCAATATTGGAACCCCTTGAGTATTTAAAAGTTAAGCAACGAATTATCAAATAACCAAGAGGTCAAAGGAGAAATCACAAGAGACATTAGGAAATATCCTGTGCCTAATTAATAAGTCAGATTAGAATGCATGGGATACAGTTGAAGCAGTGCCTGGAGGGCAATATATACCTGTAAATATCTGTATCCGAGAAAAGAAACAACTCAAGCAATAGACTATAACCGAGAAAACATTTGACAACTCAATTTAAAAAAATACAAAAGATCTCTGGAAGAAGATAGCCAAGACTAGGGGTATGATTCAGGGGTAGAGGGCTTGCCCAGTATGCTCAAGGTCCATGAATTTGATTTTTATCACAAAAAGATACCCAATGTCTAGTGAGCATATGAAATTCACTAGACTTTGCCAGCCCTCAGTAGCATGCAAACAGAAACACCTGAAACAAACCCAACAGACCCAAAATGGTCAAAGGGTTTGTGCTGGCTATTGTCATGTCGACTTGACACAAGCTGGAGTCATTGGAGAGCAGGGAGCCTCCAAAGTAATACTTTCTCATTGGGTCCACCATTCCACAAATAACAACAAAGAAACTTATTAATTATAAAAGCTTGAACTGAGCTTAGTCTTTTTCCCAACTAGCTCTTACAACTTAAATTAACCTGTCTCTATTAATCTGCATTCTGTCACATGGCTCTGTTACCTCTGCTCCGTACTGTGTATCAGACTTCTTTGGAGTCTCCGGGAGACTCTGCCTTTCTTCTTCCCAGAGTCCTCCTCTGCCCAGAAGTCCCGCCTACATCTCCTGCCTAGCTATTGACCACTCAGCTCTTTATTACACCAATCACAGCAGTACATCTTCACACAGTGTACAAATATCCCACAACAAGCCTCTCAGCTGGGAAAAAAACTGCCTCCAAGAGACCTGATTGTAAACAAGCCTATAGGGCATTTTTTAATTTAGTAATTGATGTGAGAGGGCCAACCCATTGTAGATGGTGCCATCCCTGGGCTGGTGGTCCTAGATGCTGTAAGAAAGCAGACTGAGCAAGCCATAATGAACAAGCCAGTAAGCTACATTCATCCATGGCCCCTGAATCAGCTCCTGCCTCCAAGTCCCTGCACTACCTGAGTTCCTGTCTTGACTTTCATTGATGATGAATTGTGATGTGGAAGTATAAGCCCAATAAACCCTTTCCTCCCCAAGTTGCTTTTGTCATGGTGTCTAATTGTAGCAATAGTAACCCTAAGAAAGGACTCATGTCTCACTCATGTGTGGAATCTATTAAGTTAAAATCACAGAAGCAAAAGGTATAACAGTGGTTTCCAGGACCTTCCTTGGCATTTACAAAGACATAACATTGGAAGACACAGTGTGTTGATGGAGGTGTTAATCCAAAAATAAGTATCTCTTACGGCTGACATGTATATCAAACATCACATTGTCTATCTTGAATACATGCAATTTTTATGTCAATTATATTTCAATGAAGCTGAAAAAGGAAAGAATGTGTGGGGGAGTAAAACACTCCACCCCAAGCATGTTTCTCTGGCATCTTTAGAATTGGTTATTCAAAGAAACTGCAAGTCCAGGATCAGCTCTGCCTAGCATAGTAAACAGCAGGTACAGACCAAAGTTGTTCCTACCTGATCTCTTCTTCTTTCCCTCAAGAATCTGCTTGCAGGAGCTGGAGATGGCTTGGGTACTTGCTACCCTCGCAAAGGACCTGGGTTTGGTTCCCAGTGTTCACATGATGGTTCATAACCTTCTATAAACTCCAGTTCTAGGGGATCCAACATCCTTTTCTGAGCTCCAGAGGCATTGGGCATGCACTTGTGCACAGGCATACATGTAGGCAAAACATCTGTATGCATAAAATAATAAAATACAAATTTTGTTAAGCATATTAATATCAATGTGCACGCAATTACCCTCTTAAGGAAGACCACACAGGCCTAACTTCTAAGAGAACAGACATGTCTTGCCAGCTTTCTGCTGTATACACAGGAGCCATATAATGTTTGCATGGTGCATCCTCATGCATGGCTCCTGGTGAGCATAGGCAGGCAGGCCTGCTGAACATATAACTAAGGAAGAAAACATTTGATCCCATGTGCATCTCTTAGCTTTGGTTAATACTGACACAGGGGCTGGAGTGATGGCTCAGCAGTTACAAGCACTGACTCCTCTTCCACAGGACACAGGTTCAATTCCCAGCACCCACATGGCAGCTCACAACTGTCTGTAACTTCAAAATCTGACACCCTCACACAGACATTCATGCAGGCAAAACACTAATGCACATAAAATAAAAATAAATTTTAAAAACAATATAAAGTATAATATAGTAATACCAACACCAGCCTACCTTGCCCTTCTCCAATATGAGAGTATTGCTCTTCTGCATACTCACCCATCACACACAAAATACCTTCCTATAGTTTTAATTGGAGCTATTGTTGTTTATAGAGAGCTTTTAAATTTACTCTTTTCACTTTGAAGTTTGA